ATGGTCCGTTTCCACTCTCGTAAAAGCATGTGATTATCTAAGGAGTGTTGAAACAGATTACGCAGCGGACCGCACAAGACACTCGCGCATTGTTTCAATACAGCCGGGTGGTTGTCATTACATCCCTGTGATTTCCCCACGTGGGGCTTTGATAGCCTTTCGAGGGTCATTGCACGAGTTACCTTTATTCCAGGTAACTCTACTCCACTTGGCAGTGCTGAATGCTGGTTGGCCAGCTGGGGCTCTTGGTTAGACGGAGGCGCGTTCAGTTGCTTATCGAAGGTGGCGATAAAGGCTTCTGCAATCTCTAGTCCAGAGAGGTCCTCACCACTCATGCCCCTCGGGACACAAGCCCCTGGGTGGTGAATTTTCTGCCTGCCATAGATGGATACGGGTTTTTTGGGCTCGCCTTGAGCCTCTGGGCAAGATTCGTCTGGAATGACCTCCTGTCTCCCCTCACTTTGATGTTACATCGATTTCTTAGGGCCACATACGCAGTGCAGTCAAACTCTTTCCTGGAGGTCCTCCACTCATGCCATGCTTTCCTGTTGACTTTCAAAAGGTGTTCAGTGCCTCGCTTCAGCCGTGGGGTCCGCTTCCTTGGTATTGCCGTGGTTACTGGGATGTTTTCAGAGATAGCCCTCTTGATGATATCTCTGACTGGTTCCCAATATTGATCATTCGAAAGGCTACCTTACTCCTGAAGCCACGGTGCTGTCGACAGATACTGGTTCATCGCCAAGTAGTTCGCCTTGCTTCAGCAAAGGCAAGGGAGAGATCCCTTTCATGACAGTTGTTCGTTGAGTAACGGATCATACACTACCACACCGTGATCGCTGCCCTCAAGGGAGGGTTGGAACCTGAACATTTTCAGCCAGCAGGTGATCGCTGGTAAAAAGCCAGTACACTTTGGGCGGTTTTCTGACTGACTCCATCGAGTGTCGTCGCCAATTTTCTCATGCAGTCTAGCATTTTTGGCTTCGCTCGAACCTGAAGAGTGAGAGATGCTTGAAATTCGATATTCACCTGGATTAAGTGATTATACGGATTATATGTTTCCCGAAATCGTTGAAGTGATTTCTTGATAGTTAATGAAGCCGTAAACACATGAAATGTTGGTCCGCCTGGCATAACACAGAACTACATGGATTAGTCAAACATGCCAACTACTTGCAAAGCTAACTTCAAACATTCCACGGACTCGGTACCATCTATTACTATGAAATGACTGAAAATGATCTATTCTCATAAGCACTGTGTATTCGCTGAAAAGTGTCACTTTCTCATTCGTTTCATAACCAGCGGAATCTGTAGGTTTCGTAATACAATCTAATTTCTTCCCTCTGCACCATTCAAGACTGATAAAATATTCTTGGGTTTTTTGGCCACTGTCAGCTTGATGGTGCCTGTAAGCTGACTTCCGTCACGTCCAATTCACAGTATATGAGCAAAGTGACCTGTCAACTATTTATCTACAGTTGGTATTTATCGTGGACTGACATCATTTGGGGAACCATTGAAAATCTCGCAGCGCCGGACAGCTGTCCCGTCGTAGTATGGAACTCCCCAGCATTACGCACACACGACCCAGCTAGCGGTTGAACTGCGGGCCTTCAGGTTTCACGGCGAAAGTGCTAACCACTCAGCCACTGGGCCGGTTTTCAATGGGCCACAATTTCCAAATTCCCTTAGTTCACGATATTGCGTGACTATCACCCAAGGTCTTCAGCCTGCTTCCACGAACCGGCTGAAGTGCTGCCACATTTCCAGAGGTTCCCCAACTGATGTCAGTTCTTGGAGAATACCACCTCTAAACATAAAATCCCTAGTCATCTCGAAAATGTTATTTATCAATTTACGGGTAACCTAGGGTTTCGGCCAAATGTACCGGCAAGGTATGCATTTCGATGAGTGCGGGTGGGGTTTTTTCGAATTGCCGTGCGGGACAGGTATAGTTGCTCACTTTACTAAATTCGACCCGGTTTGTGAGCCAGGATTATTGGAGTCGGTTTTACATCATTGATCTACAGCTCTGGACGCTACCAAGAAAGATGCGGTTGGTAATCTTGGAGGGGCCATATGGGGTGCCGTGATCATGAGACAATATTTTTGATGCATAAGAAATTCAAAAGCACTTCCTCACCGTTACGTATCAATAGAGTTTGAAATAGAAAAACAAATGGACCCCAGAATTTCCCTCGTAGATATGCTTGTGACGAGAAGAGACGATGGTACAATGAATAGGTGCATGGACTGATAACCAACGCGGATTACACTGTTGGCGGACTTAATAAGACTGGTATCAGTTATATACTTCCACTGATCCCTCCAGAAGCACTGAAAACAGATACAGGGACAACGGCAGACATGTTCACCCCACTGTTGTAGAGGGTCTGGAAGGATGGAAAGGTAAGTGGCGACTGGAAGAAGGGTTACCTTGTCGAACTCCCGGAGGAAGGCGACCTAAGCCTTTGCAAAAGCTGGCGAGGGATCGTGCTCTTGTCCACCCAAGGCAAGCAAAATATTAAGCCGCATCATCCTGGAGAGACTAAAGGATGCGCTCGATTCAAAACTACGACCGGAACTGGCTGGCTGGATTCGGGAAGTATAAATCATGTGCGGGATAAATTACAACGCTACGCATCATCATAGGGAGGGTGTAGAGTGGCAGTCAACCCTCTACCTTAACTTTATCGACTTTGAAAAGGCCTTCGACAGCGTCGACCGAGAGGTAATTTGGCAGGCAGCTGCTTCAACACTACGGAGTGCCACTGGTCTTCTTCGACCTCACTCAACAACTATATGAAGACGCCACATGCCAAGTGCTTCACAGTAGGAAACTCAGTAAGGCTTTTGAGGTGAAGACGGGGGTAAAACAAGGCTGCCTTCTATCACGCATGAAATTCCTGATTGTAATGGACTGGGTCATGAAACAAACAGTGAGGAGCGAGAAGAGGGGGATAGGCTAGGCCGGGGAAAATATTTTGGAAGATTTGGATTTCGCCGATGACTTGTGTCCAATGTCACACGAACTCGAAGGTGTACAGGGCAAAAAAAGGAAGTTGACTGAAGGGGCAGGGCAGCGAGGGAAGACGGGACTTCAAGTGAACATAGAGGAGACGGAGTTGATGAAGGTACCCAACCAACACCACCACCAAATACAACAAGCTTTAATTACCATCAACGGGGGAAACTTTAAGGAAGTAGCCTCTTTCATCTATCTAGGCAAGGAGGACAGTTTCAACTACAGGCGATACAGGCACGGACGAGGATGTCAAAGCCAGAATCGGAAAGACGGCAAGATAGGCGTTGACTAACGCGAAACCAGTGTGGAGATCTTCTGCACTCAGCTTAAAGCGTGAACAAGATCCGGATTTTCAACACTAATGTCAAGTCAGTGGTTCTATGTAGTTCAGTGACTTGACGCGTTACGAAAATCATTTCCAACAAACTACAGCCATTCATCAACAACTGCCTACGCTGGCTCGTTACTGAAGATCAGGTGGCCAGAAAGAATAAGCAACAAGGAACTCTGGCCGGGCAACGAACCAACGAAGAAGCTATCGCTCAACAAATTTGCAGAAGGAAGTGGAGATGGAATGGATTGGGCATACACTGAGAAGACCATGCTCAAAGACAATGATCACTTACTGATTGTGTAATCCGAATGCTGTCATAGAGTAAAACGATATCATCCACATACTCCATGTCCAAAAGCTTGTCACTAAGTGATACGTCTACATCATTACTACATTCCTTGTTCGGATTTGTTTTGACTAATTCACCAATGGCAGGTAGGAGAGAAATAGGAAAATCGGACAGACCTACCTGATCCCACAGTCGGTTCTGAACAATAGAGATAAAGGGCCTTATCTCCATATTAGATTATTCATTTGATATAACGCATAATTATCCAGTATCAGCATGTAATATGTCAGTTAAGAAAGGAGTAATCAAATACATCTTTATCTGGATTGGAAATACTCATATGGAATAATATTATACCAAAGTGACCCAGTTTCAATTTTGCAATAGGTGGCTGTGGGCCTGCACTAACCTTGAGTTTTTATCGTATACTGATTGAAAGATGTTGAGATACCTTTGCTGACAACTCTTTCTGACAAACTGTTAAGTAGCATAATCCTGAAAACTAATTCTTAAGCAGCACTGATATCGAGAAATACAGTGAACGTTGGTCTGTAATGTTTGAGCGTCTGGTGGAGATTGAACGCATGACCAATGTATAAAGGAGTTACACGAAACACTACCCTCCCCTGTCTGAGGTTTTCAAGGGTTACGAATAGGCTACGAAACAGAGTACCAGTCAATAACTCTGTGTCTACCGGTCACGGATAGACTAACACATGTATCACGTAGATCTGTTTCAAGGATTACTAAAATAATGGATTTATTCAGGAAAGGAAGACTCAGTTTTCCATACCTTTCCAAAGAATATATTTTGTTTCGCGACTACAGCTTTAAAAAGAGAGGGAGGTAGGTTGTCTGGGTCGATAGCTTTTGAAACTTAAAGGTCCTTAGGGACCTCCACTTTCTTAGTTAACCAAAAATCGAGTGCAGGATATCAAAGCTGATATTATTGCAGCAATATCAGCTAAACTGTTTTCTAAAGAGCTCCACCCAGCGTTACAGGTGTTTTCACAAAGGTTGTTTATCCATGGACTGTCTTCTGTTTGACAAATCGTCTAACTGACACTAGGCTTTTCGCTGCCAGTAGCCCAAATAAGCTAGAACAGTATTTACTATTGCCAGATACAGAGACTGTTTCCCGCGAATCCTAACCACTAGACTTCGCCGTCCTCATGCAAATACTGCGTGACCTGTCACACAAGGGAATTACTCAAACAAAGAATTCCTATCAATACACAAATAGCATATCTGCCTACGGGAAGAGGAAGGTCTATTGGAGTTCGATGCTCCATGTTCTGTACTTAAAGTATGACTTATGAAAGATTACTGTACGATTCTAAAAACTTCAACTTCTATGACAATTCTAGTTTCTGAGATAGGTAGACTTCGAATATAACAAAATATTTCTAAGAATGAGCAAGAAAAGAAAGATGTTATAAGAACTCGACTAGGAGAGAACATTTTACAGTGTCATTTTATCACTACTAAATATCTCCGAATCGTTAAAACCATTTTCGATTGCGGAAAACTCAAGTTACTAACGGATGAAATTTTCCGCAAACACTCATCCAAGCAAGTAACAAAAATTAATTCTGGCGTTAGCCAATACAAAGTATCAAAAATTTTTTCTAACGAACACATTCATAGCAAATGTAATACTGAAAATTATTGAAAAAAGAAATAAGAAAGGGATAGTGAAAGTTTTCGTGTGAGATAAAAAGAATTGAAACAGATATTTGGAGTTATACAATTAGATTTTAAGCAGGTAGTACATTTTTGATAGCCAAAAAGTCATCATTATGCAGATTAGCAATAGATTTGATCAGGTTTGCTGGGTAATATATCAGAATCCATCGAATGTGAAGTTGCAGTATCCAATCTCTCTAGCCTTAAAGTATTCTCCACCTCTGATACCGTAATTTTTATAACATCTTGTTTCGAAGGCTTATTTTCAAAACAACTTCTAAGTACACAATGAGTTTCCCCATCTGGATCATCACAGACGATATGATTGTGTTTGTCTGATACTGCAAGACTACTGGCTCCGAATTGCACTAAAGAAGAAGAACAACCATCGACTGGGCAGGAATCTTCGATATTTTCATCAAAGCTTAATTCATCATCTGGACTGGCAAGAAAGGTGGTCAAAAAAGTTGCCAAATTTTGTGCAGGATCTTGATCTGGTGATAAACTTAATTTACCTAAAGATATAACTGGTGCTTCCAAAGCTTTTGGAAGACAATTATTAGTGAAAACACATTGTTCACCATGGTAAAAGAAGCTAGCCAACCGAAATTTCGCATCTCCAAAACGTGGTGAAAGTAAGGTACAAAGTTCTAGGAATGTTGGTCGTTTCAGTGGATCAAATTTCCAACAGTGAAGCATTAATGCACGGCTAAACGTGATTAAAAAAGAACAGTGGAAATACACATCAGATTTGATATATCCAAATATTAGGAGTAGCATGATGTGAATAATATAATCAAAAATTGAATACACATACCAGTAAATAAATAGGTCAACTATATATAAAGCTTGTAAAGTATGACGTACCGAATAATTTTTAAGTATCAAACTTCCTTACTGACGAGTAACTAAATATTAATAAACAATCATTATTATTTAATGTGCTAGACTATAACCCACATATTTTGTGTAAGAAATGGTGACACTGGTCGGTTGACTATATCTGTTAGTCTATTATAGGTGTTCCAATGTATGAACCAGAAATTCATACAGTAAAACCACTTTTCAACTTCGCAAATACAACCAAAGTTCCGTACAATATTCAACATGTTGAAATTGAACTCAAAGTATGACAAATTTATCCTCCGTTGAAAAGATGAAATATAAAATTCAGTGACTGCATACAAGTTGATGAGCTCAACCTAAATAAGAGCAAAAATAATATCACTTAGTTACTAGGATCTGAGTAAATGGATTCTGTTTGAATCCATAATCCAAAGTCGAGTGCTTCAATAAGTAAGTCTCCATTTCACAAAGAAGATAATATGCTTATTCCCTTTTGTTCCTATCAGTAATGTTTTACTTATCTTATGGACTGCACTGAAATAGTCTGATTCAATGAATTTCAAAAGTAAACAAAATCACAATTATTTAAAAATCACTGGTGACTATATATAGCTTAGTTGTTTAAGTATTGAGATCGTAAGTGCAGCGAAATAAATTCTTGAAATCTTCAATGTATTATCATCGTTTGCTATCATAGAGACAGTCAGGTATCGTAGGGAGCGCGTTACTATTTAGCCACAGGAGTGAAATCCAGCTCATCCATCAAATACTGCTACGGGAGAGTATTTATTTTAACACTTGACTTGTTTGACTGAAAAGGTCACTGTCTTTCACTAGAACTTTAAAAGAGCAATAGGCAGCAGTTAGATTAACAGTTTGGGAGGAAAGACTGATACGAAGAGAGTTGTCCAACCCAGTGTCTGAGTGGTAACGAGCTAGCAGTGATACCTGATGGTTCTGGGCCCGATCGTTTGTGAAATTATGGGTGCACACTATTGAGGAGTCATCATACTAAGACAAAATAATGATCCAATGATCTCAGGTTATGAATGGTTCTTCAACTGATCTCAGTCCGTGTTGAAAAGCAGCTTGAAAATGTAGAATTATCATATAGTATGATTCATAACCTGGAGTAAATCGGTAATTTTCAATATCAATAATCACCTTATTCCAGACAATAATTTTTATTATACTAAGCCATTCTCAGTGTAGTGTATTTCAAAAAGCTTACACCTTAGACAGTATTTTCGAACTCAATAATCATCGCAGTTAAATAATGTTAATAATAACAGTATGATAAACAATAATACACAACGACCAGTTGTTTTTAGGCTATCGTGTACATTGTAGGTATGTTGTTGCATAGAGGAAACGAATAGAAAAGCACCCATAGGTTTGGTAATGCAGGACCATCCAGCCAGCATAAAAATTTACACTTCCCGCTGACTATCACAGTAATAGTCATATGATGAACTGTTGTGAATTCAAGAGCCCAATGCCAACCTACCATGATATTCTTTCACAAATTTATTATTAACTTGTGCAACGATAAGTTGGAGGCATTTTGAGAAAGTGTAAGAGTACGTTTCACGATTTTTTTTTTGACATTTGACTAATTAAAACAATTACAAAAAGAAGTAAATTTGATGTAATATATGATTGAAACTTTTTGGTAGTCCAAATTTTAAGCAGGGTGCCAAAGATAATTACGGGGAATCGCAAGGTATGAAAAGTACAATCCAACGGCAGAGTAGAAACATTAAGAAAATAGATACGGCTTTATTTTGATTTCTACTATAACTTTATGATTATCATACCTTAAATTATAAAACTTTACCGTTTAAATTGATGATCTAGTAAATATAATAACGTGAAAATTTGCTATGAACATTCTTGTAACTAATAAATGAAGACTTCAATCAAAGGCATATATATGTAACAGTAAGTATGTTAAGTAAGAGTTGAAAAAGCACTTTAATATATGATGCCAAAAGAACTGTGAATTGTGTATTAAAATGGTTTTGAAACAAATAAACCAGAACACTAACCACGTTCAGTATGGATACATTTTGACAGTACAACACAACTGCTTAAGTGAAACCATAAAAATAAAAACCTTAATAATGGCCAGAAGAATTTGTGAGATATGGTTCAGAAGTGAAGGGAACAGTAGTTTTCATATGATTTTCCCTCGTATTCTGAACAAATATTCAGAAGAATAAGCGTAATTTTATGTGATTCTGCTGAACGACTCTTTCAATTGTTATTATGATGTTTTATTTTCTACTTCTTCACTTAATCTGCATACCTTTATCATGTGGTACTCATATGACATATTTCTTGCTGCTTTTGTCAGTCTACGCTTATTTGCTAAACCAATAATGAATAAACCTTATAACAAATACTTTAAACTATTTAATACAAAAGGAAACTGAAACATATTCGCGTCATATCATGTTAGTGAATAACAAGCCACAGATGTCGACCACTGACTTAAGCATTTAGTTTTCAAGCGACGAGTCCCGATCTAACTACTTCAACCTCAGTAACCAGATCCTATCTTAAAACTTTATACAAAACGTGTGGCTCATTGCTAAGTAAGCTTGATGAAGTGAATCATATGAACAGAACACTGCTTCCAACATGGTTAAGAATGAGGATTGAGAACCCAGATATTGTAGATAACACGCTATTGTTTCATACCTTAGTGCGAATATACCTCTGTTATAAGGAGCTTACTCTACGTATTCATATGCATATAGAATATAGATGTAATTACGTTACCTAAAATAAACATATCTTTTGATGAACTATGAGAGAATCCTGAAACTAACTCATGTGTAACAGACTGCAAAAGGTGGAAATAAACAAATATTTCTATGCATATAATGCATGCTAACTGGTATCAATTAGACGTAACAGTTTTATGACAGTGTAAAGTTCTAACTACATACAGAATATGGAAATTACCGAAACTGTAAAGCAGTAAAAGGTGCGTTCAAATAGTAATTTGAGTAGAAATTAACCTTAGGTAGAGTTTCTTCAAAATGATATTATCTGAAAAGTGATATATCTAAAGCTTTTCAACTACGCTAAACACCTTCAGAAAAGAAGAACCTCAGTGATAATAATAACTTGTCATTCATATACACGTACATGTGCAATATAAAATCTCATGTTCTGAACATTATTATTACTATCTGGTTCCACACATTTCCATAGATACCTAAATTAGGGAAATATAAATCTGTTGGAAACTATGACTTTCAGATTTCTCACTTAGCAGACTACTACTCAGTAACTGGAGAGAGCTCCAACGGTTGGGATTACACACCTCCGACCAGTTCATACGAAACTGCGACTAACCTATCTTAACCCTAGGAAATTTTCACATGATGGTGAAACATTTTCAAATAAACAATGAATTTTGTACAACCATTACGTGATAGGCTCATTAGATATTTACTCTTAAAAGAAGTGATGGTAGATGGCTGTAGCTAATTGGTCTACGCATTTAATTTTCAGCCGATCGGTCATGATATAAGCCCTTTATAAGTGTTTTCAATGAAAGGGGAATTTTTCTTATAAAAGTGGATAAAAAGCTTACAAATCTGTTTAATAACATATTTATAATTACTTTTGGTAAATGAGAAATAGTACTCATTTCAAGATAATAAAGAAAATAAGTTTAAACTTATGAAGACTATAAACAGTAACTCACAATAGCTCAGGGCAATTAGTGGGTAAACCGTTTGACAAAAGTGTATTCCCATCAAGGATGTATCGGACTACTTCTTCATGAGACATACCACGGTAGGGAAGACTTGCCATAGTGACTATTTCCCATAGAACAACACCATAAGACCTGTTTCATTTTTCAATAAAGCAAATAAATAGATTACAAGTCAGAAAATATTTTACAGTACAAAAGACAGTATGTAACACGTAGGATAACTAATAGTAGTAAGACACATTAAAATGCTATGGTGTGTAAATCTTCATAAGATAATACCGAAAATAAAAATAAAGAATGAATTATGCTATATTCAATCTATCCGTACATACGACGATAAATTTTATCACTCGTGAACATCGGTTGAACAATGGCTGAAAATCCCAATTTTCCAGGTCAAGTATCCAAACTAGTACACGCTTAACACCTAACATACTACAATTCTAGCTTGAGATGAAGGAAGCAGTTTCCGTTTCAGGCGTGGTGACACCATCAGTACTGATCTCACTTAAAATAAATAAATATAAAATCAGGCAATATACGAAATATGACGGTCACTAAAACAATAGATTTTAGTCTTAACAATGAGATTAAGAGTAACAACCAACCCGAGAAGAAGAGCACATTTCATTATCAAGTGCGGCACGACCACTACAAAGCGTCTCATTGGTCCATATAGCCATGTTAGTAGTAGAGGCACATATACTAAATTATAGGTTTTCAGTGTATAATGAAGTGATGACAAATCAAAATGAAACCGAATACTGTGATGGTTAATTTGGTCATCTTGAAGTTCAGCGATTCTAGACTACGAAGTGGAGCGGCGGCTAAGTAGTAAAAACCTTCGACTTCGAACCAATGAGTCACTATTGCTGAACTCAGTCCTCACACCGAGGTTTTGGCAACCAGATAGTATTATCATGCATGCAGTGTATGAGTTGCTACCTACCTATTTCATAAACCTTCAGGAGGTTGCTGATGCACAACATTTCATTTTGCTTTGCCGACGAAAATGAATGATCAAGTATATAGTAGTCTCTATTCATTAAAAAGAGAGAAAAAACTACCAACAACTTGATTTGAACGAAGCAAGAAGGATTAGATTTATGGAAATAAAATGACATCATTTTAATTCAGGAATTCAAGATATGAACCTGTGTCTATGAGGTATCTGCCAATTGCACTTGGATCTTTTCAGGTACAAATCCTTCGGGAGGTGTTCAGTGAACCGAGTGGATGCTTTCCATTCAGTCCAATGTACTTGATACGGTAACTGCAGATAAATTTATATACGTAGTTGGGGGTGAAATGAGCAGGTTATTTAACCCATTTGAACTGGTTCAGTGAGTATACGGTATCATTAAACCTGTCAAACAGCTGAGCTGCATGGTTCATGTCACTACAAAAAACACAGGTGTCATCAACAAACCTGCGGTAATAGATTATTCCTCTGATTACTGAACTCAGGTATGTCCAAAATAACCTATAAAGATATCTGTCATGATGGGTCCTGGAGGTGCACCTATGTCTACTTCATCAGTCTTTTAATGAAGCTGGTTATTAAATTGAAACCCAACACATTTCGTGCAACGAAGTGCATATGGGTATTACAATGAATTTAGTTTTCTTAACATCAACGTGAAAACATAAAATGATGATAAGATTGTAAATATCATCCATAGATAAGATAAATGTACCGCACAATACATCTTGCCAGCTATAAGCATGAGCTAGTCAAAACCCTTCACAGTAGAGCTAGAAACTTTTTTCTCTGTGGAAAAGGTAGAGGAAGAAATAAATATCACTAAAAAGTATCTTAGAGGGAATAGATATCGTGAGAGGTTTCCAATGAAGGATGGAAAAGAACAGATCGAAATGGAATGGGCACCTAATAGATGAAAGGAAGAAGGCTTTTCTTTACCTCGCATTCAAGGGAGAATATACACTAAGATCAAAACAGAACTAAAAAAAGCTTTATACAACCAAACTTGTAGCAGTGTACGATATCGCAGGTTCATTCAACCAGTTCAAATTGGTTAAATAACCTGCTCATTTCACCTCCAACTAGGTATCAAGTATATTGAACTGAGTGGAAAGCATCCACTCAGTTCACTGAACACCTCCCGAAGGATTTGTACCTGAAAAGATCCAAGTGCAATTGGCAGATACCTCATAGACACAGGACATCAGGTTCATACCTCGAATACTTTTAAGATAATAATAAATATATTAGAAAACACATAGATTACGCTTTGTGGAGGCAGTTGTTTTCAAACACTTTCAACCTGACTTCTGCCCACAAAAGAAGAGTGTGGTCTATCTCTCACTTTCTTGATGACTATAATTTTATCTTGTTTCATCTTAACCATATAATTTCTTACTTTACTCACCTACTACTACAGTTATCTAATACTAATTGTTTCTTTCTTATACTTCTTAGCCCTCTGTACAATCCTCTCTTACACATTATATAGATTAGGAATGATTTTGAAGTACAACTAAAGATTATTGGATTCCTAATTTTAAGTCATCTTATGTGCTAGAACAATTGCAATCTTAGAATGTATACAGCTGAGGATTCTTGAAATAAAATAGTATCATTTTATTCTATAAATCCAATCCTTCCTGCTTTCTTCAAAGTTATCAAAGGATCTAAGTACATAAAACTTTTTTATTCTTTTAGTTATGATAGGAACCACATCAAATTGCAGAGAAGTTTATCAAAATTAAATTCTTATGTTCTTTTTATTGATTGAGATGATTGTTACTTCATTGTTTCAGAAGAAAACATACTTATTAAGTTTTAAGTTGAAGGGGAAGTATTTACTTGTACTAGCCTCGCCTGGTTAACTAGTTCACTAGTTACTAGCCTGTCCTAAGCCCGCATAAACAGGGAAGGTTGGGCATACGGCTAGCAACCCTACCCCGTAAAACCAATCCGATCGCTAAAGAAACTTCTAAGCACAAAGAAAATATAAAAAATAAAAACAAACATATGCCTCGCTGGAATCGGAGAGGCGAAATGAAGCCGGTTGGAGAAAGCCTTCGGAAAGCCAATTGGCCGATATGTCTACTCTTCTCTCGATGAAAGCGAAAGTAAACATAGGGACATGGAATTTCCGCACCTTGTATGAACCTACTAAGGCTGCCCAGATTGCGAAAGAGATGAGGGGGTATGGCATGGAAGTGCTTGGAATTTGCGAAAGCAGATGAAATGGAAGTGGACTCCCCAGACAGTCAACTGGAGAGTCAGTAATCTTCTCCGAAATTGTCACTGTGACGACAAACATAAGCACACTGAGTTTCGGAGTGGCTATCATGATGTCCCCAAGAGCATCAAAGGCTCTCATACAGTGGGAGCCAATCTCCTCCTGCAGTATCATGACAGCAAGATGGATTCAACTCAAAAGAAAAGAAAGTCACAATCATACAATGGACAGCAGATGTGGGTTCACACCACTCAGTGTCTAGTGTAAGGAACCTATCTTCCAAATCAAGTTGAAAGCCTTCAGGGAAGTTGGTGATAGACGACCACAGTCCAGAACACAAACTGAACGACGCAACTACAAAAGAAATCTTCACGTCAGCCATCAGAACAAAATGGGAGACATTGAGCAACATCCCTGAAGGAACCTGTGTGGAAGAACTCTGGAACCCTTTGAAAGGGATATGGAAAGACACCTGCATAACCGTATCAGGAAGGAAGAGGAAACAAGACAAGGAACAGATCTCGAAGGACACATGGAAGCTGATAGAGCAGGGAGAGGAAGAAGGTGAAGCAGAAGATGAACCAGTGCAGTGTAAGCATGCACAACGAAAAGAAGAACTGAGTACAACGTATGAAACACTGGACAAAGAAGCGAAACAGAGTGCGCGCATGGAGAAAGCACACTTCTATGACACATTGGCAAGCGAAGCAGAACAAGCTGCAGGTAGGAGAAACCTGACAACATCATATCGAATAACCAGGTAACTATCTAGCAAGAGATCAACGCTGATGAAACCAATGAAAGATGGTGAAGGAAAGCTAGTTACCAAAGAGGAGAAATAAAGGAAACAATGGGCTGACCACTTCAAAAAGCTCTTGAGTCGACCATCACCCCCTGCAACTCGTCCAGAAATACCAGCAACAGCGAAATTACCAGTGAACACAAGCCCTCCGACAAAAGCAGAAGTCCTGAATGCCATAAAACTGCTGAAATCCGGCAAACCAGTAGGACCAGATGGAATTCCACGAGAAGCACTGGAAATAGATGCAGACACGACAGCGGAAATGCTCACAACACTACTGAAGAAGGTTTGGAAGGAAAAGAAGGTACCTGCTCAATGATTGGAAGAAGGGCTACCTTGTCAAACTACCAAAGAAGGGAGGCCTGAGCATTTGAAAGAACTGGCGAGGAATCATGATGCTATCCCTGTCCACCCCAAGGAAGCAAAATATTAAGCCGCATCATCCTGGAGAGACTAAAGGATGCACTGGATCCAAAACTACTACCGGAACAGGCTGGCTGGCTTCAGAAAGAACAAATCATGTGGGGGTTAAATTGCGACGATACGCATGATCATAGAACAGAGTATAAAATAGCAGTCAACTCTCTACCTCAATTTCATCGACTTTGAAAAGGCCTTCGACAAGGTCGACCGAGAAGTAATTTGGCAGGCAACTGCTTCAACACTATAGTGTTAGTGCCATAAACACTTGCCAACCTCATTCAACAGCTATATGAAGACGCCACATGCCGAGTGATCCACAATGGAAAGCTCAGTGACGCCTGTGAAGTGAACACAGGTGTAAGACAAGGCTGTCTACTATCACCCATGATCTTCGTGATTGTGATCGACTGGACTGGATCATGCAGCAAAACCGTGAGGAGCGAGAAAAGGGGCATACGCTAGCTGGACAGATGAAAAGAGCCTAGAGGATTTGGATTTCGCCGATGACGATTTGTGTCTAATGTCTTGTAGCACAAACTCGAAGATCTACAGGCGAAAACTAACAAGCTGACAGAAGAGGTAGTGAAAACGGGACTTCAAGTGAATGCAGAGAAGATGGAGGTGATGTAGATACTCAACGAACAACATCGACAACAAGCACTGATCACCATGAACGGGAAAAACCTAAAGAAAGTTCTCTCGTTCACCTACCCACCTACCTAGGCAGTATTGCTTCAACTACAGGCGGCACAGAGGAGGACGTCAATACCAGGATCGGAAAGACAGTAAACCAAGCCTTCATTAACCTGAAATATGTGTGGAAATCCACTGTACTTTAATCAGCATAAAGCGTGAACGAGGTCCGGATTTTCAATACTAATCGCAGTCAAGTAAATCAGTCCTTTTATATGATGGTTGAGAGACTTGGTGAGTTACGAAAAGCATTTCCGACAAACTACAGACATACATCATGAACAGCTGCCACCTACGCTAACTCGATACTGAAGATCAGATCAGATGAGGTGGCCACAATAATAAGAATAAGCAACAAGCTACTGTGGGTGGCAACGAATCAACCAAAAACCTATCACCTAACAAATATGCAGAAGAAAGTGGAGATGGATTGGGCATACACTGAAAAGGTCGATCAGGAACATCACACTCCAGGCCCTCGAGTGGAATCCAAAGGGAAAACGACGAGTTGGGCTTCCGACGGTGACTTGGAGGAGATGGTGTGAGGAAGAAATGAAAGCTTGTGGGCAGTCATGGTGCGAGGTTCAAAAGACTGCAGAGAATAGAGTGCAGTGGAGGCGTGCTGCTGAAGACATATGTTCCACTAGGAACCCAAGGGAAAAAATATTATTATTATTATTATTATTATTATTATTATTATTATAGATGGTTTAGTTCGCATTTCATGCTCACTAGTTGCATGCTGGTTGCTCGAAGGTAATCGGCAACAAGTCATACAACTAGATTTCTTTCTTGTTGACACTGGTTAGCAAGGCGTCTCTGAAATCCTTAGGGAACTGATGTATTCTCTGAAATTCAAACCCACGTCGCTAGGTGCTGCAGTCAGAGAGGTTACCAAATTGTTATTTAGGCCCACGAATGACTTCCTATAGAACTCGACTGAATACAATGATCAGTCACTGGAGCGTTACCAATTTTATGTTATTTATATGTTGACCGAATTCTGTGGATCATTTCGCTGTGTGGTCAAGCAGAGGTGAGTCTCCTACGTTGATGACCAAATTTAAAAATGATAGATAAAATTTAGTCAGTAAATAGGAATAGAAAACAAAAAACAGCGACCAGTCATTATTCTGTTGATTGTGTATTCAATGACTAGATTTTCACAGACGTCACTCGTTAGTATTTCATGAAGAATAATTTTCAGAAACCTGTGATGTGTTGGTTAGATACTCATTACTAATTCACTATTTTGTCAGGTAAGCAGAAACCAATGAAATCTGTTTGTTTTTCAGTGTTCACTTTATTCTGTCGACCAGGAGATAAATACACAGCAGGTTTCAAAATAAGTGGAACAATACTATAATGATACAGTATGGCTAGCAGTGGACTCCAAGATGCATTCTGATTGGGATGAAACGTACACCTTGGATCCTACTGTTAGCTACTTTCTATCATTCATATCAAACATAAATTATCAGCAATATCAAGGCATCCACACAGGAGCCAACAGTGGTTGATTAATTCGATTCAACCGACAGGAATCCAGTATTAAATGGAACAGTGTTGCTGTATACTGTTAATATGCATAACTAATAAACTGAGTTATGAAGATTAGTATTTCAATAAAATAATATAGAAAAAAAAATTATTATATGCATAATATTTTCCTGAAACTTCAACGACTAACCAGACATCTGATTGAGTTGTAAAGTAAGCGGTTTGTAGAGATTCTGGAGCCATCCAACGAATCGGCAGTCTCCCATGACTCATTTTATGATAATAATTACACTCGTATACATCTCTACACAATCCGAAATCGCCTATTTTTACAGTTAGATGAGAATCAACAAGACAGTTACGAGCAGCTAAATCCCTAGAAGAAGAAGGAGAAAGTCGGGAAAATCAGATAAAGTGATTATGCATACTGTTGTGATAAACTTACAATACGTGGAGTCACTGGTGGGCATAAGTATGGGTCATCGAATCGATTGGAAAAAAATAAACGAGACCAGAGGGTGAAAGAGGCAAATAGGTGGAAAAAAGTAATGTGGTTCAATTTAAAAGTTGTTAGCCGAAAACTGAGTGGTGAAAACGTTACAAAGTCACGAAACAAAATATAGAGGAGTTAGTTGTGTGAAACATGTGGTCAATATGGTAAGCTACGACCAAAAGAATGAAAACGACCGTACAAACTGTTTCTGTGAACATAATTTTGGTTTCAGAATACATATGGGTGAGGCGTCTGGGATACGAAGTAGATTTATGTGTGGCAGGCTTGATTTGAACTTGTAACTAATATATGGTTTGGAGGCTCTAGCGTTGTAGCCAACTCCATGGTTCTACACTCATATTCGCCCAACTATGCTTAGATGTGCTCTCGAACGAGACGGAGAATGTTTCTCAACAAACCTCCTATGTATCTACAAGAGCAGATGTGAACACCCAGATGGAATCATCACAAACAGAAAGATTCTTCGCTGAAGTTTTTATTTCATCTCTTCACGGAGATTCACAGTGTCACATTGTGAAATTAAATATCAACTAAGTAGATTCCATGGAAGTCATCACATACGTTAAATAGTAGTGTTAACTACCTTGGATTCAGTTTTACTTCTGATCTTTGTTGACTTATAAGAAAATCTTTCGTTTAACGTATTACACAAAGAAATTGAAACTGTCTGGTATAACTCGGTCTCTACCTTTACAAATTTTTATCAATTAATAAATTTTACCTATTCTTTATATTGTTCCCCGTGTATCTGTCCTTGTCTAGTAGAAAAGGACTATGTGATATTGCGTAGGACTTTGAAAGCTGTCAGTAAAGTAAGTGCTAGGCCTCTGACTCAACTGACTAACAGTTTAAAGACTGGATCATGTAACAAACAGTGAGGAGCGAGAAGACGGGGATACGCTGGACCGCGGAAAAGAACCTAAACGACTTGGAGTTCGCCGATGACTTGTGCCTGATGTCACACAAACTCGAAGATCTACAGGCGTAAACTGACAAGTTGACAGAAGAGTCAGAGCACCGAAGGAAGACAGAACTTCAAGTGAATATACAGAAGATAGAGGTGATGAACATACCCAAACAACACCAACAAGCTCCAATCACCATCAACAGGAGAAACCTAAAGGAAGTAGTCATTTTCACCTATCTAGGAAGCACTGTTACAACTACAGGCGACACAGACGAGGATATCAAAGCCAGGATCAAAAAGACGGCAAGACGGACCTTCATTAACCTGAAACCTGTGTGGAGATCTTCTACACTGCAATCAGCATAAAAAGTGAACAAGATCCGGATCTTCAACACCAACCTCAGTCAAGTCAGTGCTTCTGTATGGCTCAGAAACTTGGCGCGTCACGAAAAGCATTTCCAACAAACTACAGACATTCATCAACAACTGCCACCTACACTGGCTCCTTACTGAAGATCAGATGACCAGAATAGTTAGAATAAGCAACAAGGAACTCTGGCTGGCTGGCTGGCAACGAACCAACCAAGCACTCATCGCCCAACAAATATGCAGAAGGAAGTGGAGATGGATTGGATTGAACATACACTGAGAAGACCATTCGGGAACATCATGCGTCAGGCCAGGCCCTCGAGTAGAATCCCCATGGGAAGCGACGAGTTGGGCGTCCAAGGCGAGGGTGACATGAAGGAGATCGTGCGAGGAGGAAATGAGAGCTTGTGGGCTGTCGTGGAGCCAGGTTCAAAAGATTTCAGAGAACAGAGAGCATTGGAGACGTGCTACTGAAGCCCTATGTTCCATTAGGAACCCAAGGGACAAATAATATAATAATATAAATTCTAGAAGGTATATTAAGCAAAGGAATTTTAACTGACACTGAGCATCCACTTTATTCACAGCTATCTCTCGCTCGCTCGCTCGCTCTCCTTTTATCTCTGAAGGCAGGACAAGAAAAAATTGCATAAGACTGTACACGCTCGTACAGCTTAATACACGAATTCAACAGTGCTTTACCTAGCACGCATATTGTGTGAGGAAAACGTTTTAGAACAGAACTCACTGATCAAATTTGCAACAAAAATAATCTTTTAACTAACAATGCCAAAAGAAATTTCCTAAATTATCATATTACCACTATTCGAAATGTTGTAAAGGAGTATATAAATGTTTTTTTGCTGTAATATATCATGCTGAAAATCCCATATTGTACCAAAATTGTTTAGAATAAAGTGATTATCATTATTATGTTGTAGTATTACCTATAAATAAAGTTGCTGAAAATGCATTACATAATTTATGTATAATCATTGCACTTAAACCTTTTTTAAATTTCATTTTACCAGATTTTTCATGGGGAATGAAGAATTTATTATGTCAATTAATTCTGCTGAAATTAAGAAATCCCAACATAAAGACGCATCAAAAATGTCAGCAGTTGGTGAGATCATGGGTACAACGTTTATTCAAAATACCACTAAAATTAAAAGCTTATCACGATATGTATAGATTCATTATAAATAAAGTTATAATACATAAGGGTATGTCAAAAATTACTATCGAGTAGGTGCAAGTATATTGACTAAAACAACACTTGAAATAGGAGACTACAAGTATAATCAAACGTTTGGAGTAATAGATCCAGCATCAGTTACACCAATAAGATGGATACGAACGACATATACTGACTAGAACAAGTTATAAACTTTAGTAACAGTAAATCACACGTGGTCATCCCTTCCCAATGGTGTGAAATGAAATAGATAGATTAGACGGTTCGTGAGCGCACAGTATGACAATATAGTAAAATCTCTAGAACAATCGAAACACGACTAAAAGATGTGGAGTTATATTTGGATGTGGGGGTGTGTTTCCTTGGCTTAGGTACTCGACATTCAAGTTATGGGTTACGTGTTCAAAATCAATACTACCTACTGCTTCATTCCGTGCAGAGAAGTAGCTCAATAATCCATCACACACTAGATGTGACTCATAGTCCAGTACACGAACCTGAACTGGATGGGAGCGGCAGCACATATGGGTGTCGACTGATAGTTTATTAAATGTTAACAGACTAATAGCAGGTTTTATAACATTGCGAAACTGACCAGTTAAGAAAAGAAGTTTAAAACGATCACTATGAAAACAACTCAAGGGAGATGATCAGCACGAAAAATAGAATGATCAAAGTCTCGAGAATAATTATCGAGGTGTAGAGCTTTAGCTCAGTGGTAAAGAGAGGTGACTGCTAATCGTTGGGTTACGGGTTAGATACCCGCTCCACCTATTGAGGTTTGGGCAGCCAGGTAGTATCACTAACCCTCATACAACAGGTGTGGTTCATTGCTTACTGCATGAATGTGCATCAGGTTGCTGAGTATGTTACAAGGATTTCATTTCAAAAAGCTCGAAATCCTGTACGAAAACAAGCAATAGTAGTAGTCGTATTTCATGACTTTTTATTGAAAGAGATTCTTTAAAAATTTTACCATAAAGTTAACTTTAACGCTTTCAAAGAAGTACGCAGGTAACACGTTCATAATATGTACTAGCCACTTGCATTTGTTGAGACCCGACAACTAATCCAAAAAGGAATTAAGAAATACATTTCACATTTTGACGTATCCCATAACAAATCAGTAACATAAACGTTTAGCTTTCACGCAAAATGGTTGAATGATGCCATCTCATTCTAATCACTTTAATCTAGTTGGCATACATGTACATGGCTGGTGAATCTTTTATACAGTTGTAGTTTGATGAGAAGTTGTACAAGCATATTACATAAAAGAAAGCAAGAGTCGCAACTTATCTAATTCGCAATAGGTAGATAGTAATTACACTAACACAAAAGTTGCTACGAATAGCGGAGCATCTATATTTTCTGTTCTCATGATATTTGTGAGGGATATTAAATGTCTTTTTTAAGCTGAATCAATTTATTACTCACCAATAAGACTGAGCGATAACACACGAGTAGCTTGATTAAATAGTATTAAGATTTCAAAAGTAATTACTTACCTATGAACATATTTCTTAGCAGATAAATAAGCCATTCCATCGGCTATTTGCGTCGCCCATAGATAAGCTTGTGATGGATTAACTGAACCTTGTCCTTTATCGCCTAAATGGCGTAAATAACTGGCTAAATCTCCTTTAGCCATTAATTGCATAATGACTAATGGACTCTCTGGTGACACCTTATCTACACCAACTGGTTTTGCATTGTTGAATATAGATGTATTGACAATACTAGACAGTTTATCTGAGGAACCTATGAAGTTAGGTGAAAATACTTTAGTATTATAAACAACTAATTATTTAAAACAGTATTTTATGTATGTTTATGAACAAAAATCCAGGATGAATGATACAAACAATCCCAAGTTTTATGAATAGACTATCATTGAGAAAATTTTCTTCACGTTTCTTGAATGTTTCCTTGAGGAAGCTACAAAAAATCTCGATTTGACTATAGAAAATAATATTACACTCTATTCTGTGCAGGTTATGTACACTTTGTCACTAATAATAATAATGTTTTGTTAATACTGTACAGAATTTTCAGTACGTTATATAGCATCAACTGGATAGAAACAGTGTATATGTATACATAATAAATTACATATACAAAATAAGAATATTTTCTCCATTCAAAACTGTTTTGAAAAGGCGTCGTAAACTCAGATAAATAGTCACATTATCAGTTGGATTCATAATATATGAATAACACCAAGTTGAGAAATTCTGAATTAGCTTTCTTTAAACAAAACTTGATTGGTTAGTTCATTTCTAACATTTCCTTTCTCGTACAGAGCACGAACAGAATAAAGTATGACAGAGTTTTTACTTTCAGTAGTTCGTGCATGAAGTCTAATAAACTTGTTCCTGGTCTTACCTGACAACCGACATGTAAATAGCTTTGTACGAAGAGGATGCTGGTCATCCGATTAAATAACTTCTGCCAGATGTTTACAAGTCAGGATGTTTGTAAATAACTAGGTCAATTAAACATTAAAGAGGTACGCCATTAGTTCTGCTGATTATCTTCTAAACTCTGCACAAAATAGCATAGTCTTTGCTCAGCAACCAAGAAAGAATAAAGGGGAATAATAGAGAAGAAAAGGCTAGATGCAGGAGTTTATAAAACACAAGAAAAAAGTCTGAGCTATAAACGAATGCCAACAGCTTCCTAATATAGTAAGTTAGGCGGAAGATTCTATTAGAAATTAGTAAGATATGAAAGGATCGGGAAAGGCCCGAAGAAAAATACACGCCGAGATAAAACACACTTGTAACAATCTCTGATGCAAAACTATCAATAGAACAGGAATTATGAGAACTAAGCAGTTTACACAGGTTATGTTCACGTCTAAAACTAAAGTTTATAGCCTGACATTTTGAAGAATTAAACACAAGACTGTTCATGGAGGACCATCTCCCAACAATAAATAAGAAACCGTTCAGTTGAGAATGTGATGAAAATTTGACAGGTATGGAAACTGATAGGTCATCAGCACACTTAATAAGACTGATAATAGCTGAAGGTGGTAAGTCGTACAGAAAGAAAGACTGCGGGAAAGGATTTCACCTTGGAGAACACCAGCCTCAGTAAGCAATGAGATAGAGCGCTTCCCTTTGTGAACAGTATATTGTATCTTTCCACAGAAATAGGAGTACAGTCACAGCTGATTATTCCCTAATTACCACTAGGCAAGACAGAGGGAACAAAAAACAAAAAACTGATAACACTTAGTTTGGCTATTACAGAAATAAACATACCTAGTGTATTACAGCTAAAATCTTCACTATCAAACATGTTTTTATTTGATGTTGATGAGGATAACAGAGGATATAGTTTTGATTTCGGTGATTTTGATGCAAATGATGACCGAAGTAAAACACGATTAAAAAATCGACATAATCTGCCCAAATGTAGCTGATTACACAACCGCAAACAACGAATAGTACATTTGGATGACTTATGTTTCGGTTTAATTTTAGTTACCAAACCGAGTAAACGTACTAAATGATGGCTTTGAAACTGTTTCATGAAACATGCTTCATTGACAAAATCTCGATGATCAAATAAAGTGCTGTTTGCACTAATGGTCTGATAAAGAAAAGAATGAATGAATAAGTGAGTGAATGATGAGAAGAATAAAATAATAAAATGAACGTATTAGATACATTTCAAAGGGATGAAGATTTCACGGTGCTCGATAAAGTAGCAATCTTTGGATTATGATTATAACAATTCTGCGTATTAAAGCTTAAAATTATTATAAGGTATAAAACACGAAAACCTACGTCGAAATATGAGGTCTCCTGCACAAACTTGATTTTTTTGTAAAGAAATAGACAATTGTCAGTTGTTACCCGATCATCCTTTTCACATGCCTTTTTAACTGTATTAAACTAGTATTCCCATTTCCATCTTCAGATAATTATCGTTTATAATTTGCTTCTAACATTTCCAAAGCCAAGGATTACCCTATTCTGTTTTTCTATCTCCCCGACCATACATTAATCTATCACTGAAGTTTAGATGTACTCAGTTTCACTTCTGTCTTGGTAATGAAACTAGAGAAAGTTTTATTTTATAATTCAACAGAAATGGCATACAATAGCCAGGTCTGTAAATAACATGATTGAATCCATAGTTCTGTTTCCAAGTCGCTCAGGCGGAAGTAAGTGGGGTGGGATTTGAACCTGAAAACTAATGCATGTTAGTCATTAACTTTAACAAAAATTATGAAAATTACAGTTTTTAAATGTATAATCATATTCTGCCTGTTACATAGCGATTGGCTCGAGATCTCATCTTCCAAAAGAGTTGATTAAAAGTTTTTAATACCAATGATTTAATGAAGTGATATCTCTTGTCAAAATCACTAGTGTTGATATGCTTTGACTGAATGAAGATGACGATTGTGTAGATTCAAAGTGATCTAGTGAGGTCAAGTTGTAAGATGAAAGGAGCTGAAAAAAATATATCAATAAATTTTTTGAACCAAAACTCATAGACAGATGTTTTCACAACACCTTATGTAATGCATTCTCATAACAACTAATAAGATGTCTTTGATGATATTATTCTCAAGACGCCAACAGTTTCCAATGAGAGGTGAAAAAACGTGACATATCTCGATATCCATTTGTGAACACTTGAGCAGTAACCTTCATCTCCCACCCTTGACAGTGGAGCTGTGGTTCATTGGTTTAAACAGTTAACTTTAAACTGGGGGGTTCGACCCTTACTCCGCCTACCGAGGTTTGGCCAGGCAGGTAGTATCATTAGCTCACACACAATAGACGTTGTTGATCACCTACTGCATGAGCGTGCTTGTGGTTGCTGAATGCATTTCAAATGTCCTCTCTCGATCACAAGGAAATACGAAACGCGATAAGATAACCAAAGTTGTATTACAATATCAAGTCTCTCTAGTTGAGCATTTTCTATTAATTTTCCCTCTTTAATCAACTTCGTATCCACAATCATCATCACGTGATTTTGGTTGGGAAGGACTTCTAGTGCTATAGGGATTTTTTGAGGGATCTGAACGATGATACCATAACACTAATAAATAGGATGAAAAATGGGCAAGCTATTTTTCATATTTACGAAAGAAAATAACTAACCTTAATCGCTACAGGAATATTTACTGGATTGTTGTAAAATACTTTGGCTGGTGTTTTCAACTGCCTTACAATACCTTTATATACAGTACCAAAACTACCACGACCGATTGCATATTTCCATTGAAGTACATCTATATCATCTCTATTTATCTCCCAATCATCTACTTCATAGATTGTGCAATAATCAGGGTTACTTGAAGTCCAAGCAGTAGCCTTTAAATAACTGTATGGATAAATTGAAGAAATAATAATCAAAGTTAGTATGAGTAAATTTAATACGAAATAAACTGTTCCACTAGAAATTAGTCGGTCAAATCAAGACAGAAAAATGCAAAAAGCATCCAATTATAACAATTCATGTGTTCAATTTACTGGATTTATCTTCGTTGATAATGCACTAACTGTGCAGACGTTTTGATATAAGTCATCAGTGACCCTCTAAAAACAGAAACCTAAAATGAAATACAAATGTAAACACCGATTGGATCAACATTCCAAATTAGTACATCCATGTTGAGACTGAAACCCAATAAAAAGCATTATTAAGCTCGGTAATGATGCAAGATAGTCACTTTCTTCTCAGCTGGTACGAGTTGTCACTTTGTAGAATTTTGGATTAACTGTTAAAAGAAGGTGGTAATTTAAAGAAAAGCATGAAAATGACCAAACTTTGTATCAGCAGGGTGCATCCAAGCAACTACCACTACTTGGCTCACCGTACCCTAGGTTATATCTTTCTAATTGTGATAAAATAGAAAATAAGGTTAGTTTGCCTACGCAAGAATAAGTTCGTTTGAGGTAGATCACTTTCTAAAAAGGAACAAAAATTCTACCTAGATTTAAAACGTCTTACTACTGACACAAGATTCCCATGGTACAAAAAATTCGTACTCTTTATCTCTAACTGTTTATAATCAATTTTTTCAGGAACTTGAAAGTACCACATCTAAATATACGAGTTAGTAGTGAAAAAAACACTACTGCCAATTATGTCGCGGTGCAAGCAGTAGCATAACTTCGCCTTCGGATACCAAATGACGATAGGTCTCTAAAACTAACATTTAGTGGAATATCAGGCGTAACAGTTTTTCCCACTGACGGTTAAGGATGTTCTTTAATGTTTATAGAGCAGTTTCATTAACTGTTAATGGAAAAATATAACGTCTGATCTCTCATGATTTGAAATTAACAACAAATGATCAATCCCATCACTAGAAGATTAAAGATAATGACCAAACTGTATCATGTCTACTACGAACATTGAAGGATGCGTATTTAATCCCAAAAACGAATGAGTGGCTCCAAACGAGAACCACGTATCCAGCACTCCTTAGTTTTCAATAACTTTTCAATCAATGTCGGTACTCACAAGTTACACTTCTAAGTTAATGAAACCAATAACGTAAGCATAGAATTTTAACAGTGTGTTAGAATGTATTTTCATACTACAATAACCTGTTTCATATATCGCATAGTGATATAGTATTATTTACTGTGTATCAAATCAAATAGACTGATCTAATACAGAACTGATGAAAGCATTCAAACTACTAATAAATATATAATCAGTCAGTTCATGATAATTACCCATTGAAAATTTTGTAATTATAGTCAAGATAAAGAAGTAATTTATTAAAGCTTAAATAGAATCTTATCACAATGTATCCACAGAAAGTGAATTCAGATCATACTTTTCCGATGAACGAATCAAATAGACAGAAAAAATCAGCGTAGAACCCCGCATACAAGTGCATCGACTGAAGTTGCTACACTTCACAGAAGTATACAAAGAACAGGTGGATAAAAAAGAGTGAGATCAAAGTGAGCAAAGTTGTGTGAGATAATCAGCAATTTAAAGATAGAGGTAAGAGCAAATATCTAAGCTTTAGAATACATCACGGGATTAAACACAACTACGTCATTGTGACCGATTTTCAGCCAAGAGTCTTCAACCACTGATTCCTATTATCTTGGGGACCCCAGCCATGTAGCCTACATCTTCCTACACATAGATCAAGGGTCAAAGACTTCACCGACTAGTACCACATCTTATTCTGGCCACTCTAAGCTCTTTATGTCAAATATATGCTTAGCTTAAGTAAGCCATAACAAACTAAATATTGGCTTACTTCACTGATTATCATCACGATATGAATTCAGGTAATCAGATCATTTCACTAAGCACACAACATATCAAGGACTTCATTCAACCGGAACTCGACTTTTAAGATTTAAAAGCCAAATAAAATATCTTTAACCGATTTAATTCATAGAATCATTCTACTTCATGCAGGTTTCTTTGACGCCAAAGACATTAAAATTCAAGTGTGAAATTGTTTTGATAAACGCGGTGGACATCAGATAAAGTTGTTATCATATGTCCAAGTTAGTGAAAAAGGTTGATGAGTAGAGTTTTTCACAAATTTTCTTCAAATCTGATTAGCCTATCACGCATTTTAGTCTACCTTCGAAAATATTTATAACTGAACACATAAACTGGAGGATATGAACAGAAGCAAAGTGTGAATTGCAAGTCGAATGCGTTTATCCCACCCTTTTTAATTTTCGAGCTCAACAGCAGTCGATATATCAAGGTTAAATGAGCTGGCAGTTTCACTTGACAAGGTCAGTTAATCATGAAAATTAGGTAGAATAAAGAATGTTAGTTATCGAAATATGATATACGGGCTGTAGCTGCACCACTTGCAATCGGTGCTTAGTCACATGAATCAGTTACCAACAATAGACTTCGGTGACTACGTGGATCTTAACCAGAATAACTTCATTCTTCTACACAGCTCATACTGTTCGTTGGAGTTTGAGACAAGAGTAATAACTTAAAAATATACTTTCCCAAAAGAATATCAAGGAAGAAAATTTATTAGATGGGTGAATTGGTGTGTTCAGTAAAGAAATTCGATATCTGCATTAGAAGCATGTACACAAAAAGGGTCAAATTCATAAAATTAAGCTAACTAAACCTAATGATCAGCGAATTAATCTGTTGTTAAGCGATTTCTTCATTCAATTTATCAGTAGCAGAATTATATTAGATTATAACTGATTTAAAGCATAGTATACTCTAAGCGGACAATAAACATTAGAGTTAACTTACTAACGTCGTATCTTGTACATAATAACTGCCAAGATTGAGCAAAACAACAGAAATGCACTTGAGACTACTATGCCAATCATCAGTAGCTTATGATCTAGAATAATTTGTAGAAAAACGATTGAAAAAAACCCAAATGTATTCATCATACAGACATCATAGAAAGGTATCCGCTGACTAACTTTACTTCAATTACAACACGTATCAAATTGATAAACTTTTAAGGTTGTTAAAATTCATTAAATTTAGACATTTAGTGGCATATGTGAGTCAAAATCCCAGTGAATGAATGATAAAGCGAACATGTGAATGCTTTTGTACTATCAGTGAGTCAGACTAATTATATAAGCACTAACTGTGCTACCGATTAGGTTAAAATTTGGCATCTGGAACAGATTATATGAAGGCTAACTATCTAAAACAATAATGCCAATGTATTAAATATCTATTAGGTATAACAAATTCAGAGACTAACAACCGTTATTTACAAATCAACTGACGATATTTGAATGGTAAACCTTGGCGTGGATTGCATTAATGATAAGTCATATTCCATGATGAACATGACGCTTGAATCAAAAAACTGAAACATTCACAAGTAACTTTTGTCGAACTGACTGGCAGTCAATTCAACTAGTCAACAGTGATTTAGCATATCTTGAAAAATCTATGTGCGGTTGACAAAGAAGATAAACATAGAGAAATCTACGAATCTTGAGGAAAAACACAAAAGACAAAGGAAAAGTGTACACCTTGGGAGTCAGTAACCATTTTGACTATCTGACGTAGCCGTGGTTTGGTAGACTAATATTTATACTATATGATGATTCAAGGTGAAATGAAAATTTGGGTGGCGGCCAGATTTGAACCAGCGACCTTCGGGTTTCCGACCCAGTGTCCTACCCACTGAGCTACGCTACGAGGTCCAAATATGATAGTCTTACATCTATGCAAATGTATACTGGCAAATAGATCGAGTAAAATGGAAAGACAAATGAAATAGTAACTAGGTTAAGGAATAAAGTCTCACGGAATATATATATGTATACATATATAAGGAGTACGTATATGATGTGAATAACACCACAAACGGAGGATTTAAGAATTATGTAATCAAAATTTGATTTACCAAGTATTAAACAATCAAAAACCTACGATTAAAAACGTCACCATGCAGATCTGAATAGACAGGAACAGTGAATACTTTAACTGGACTCCAATCTCCGTTGCCAGCAAGTGAAATGGCCATGATTTGAAACTCGTAGCTGCCTGGTGACAGGTCGTTGATTAAAATACCACCTTCTATGATATCATTCAATTCATGTCTACGTTTAGTTCGTGATCTCAGCCTTCGGTTGACATCTGGCGATAAACTTGAGTTCAATGAAGATGTATATTTCGAATGAACAGTTGCCCAATTCTGTAATGATATACACTTTGTGAACCATGGAAAAGACTAAAAACATTTAAAATTAAAGAAAAAGCTATAGTGAAAAAAATTAAAATAGATAAAACGATTATAAAACGTTAATACTGTAGTAATATGTACATATTTTAGAGCAGTTGTAGTTGTAAGAATTAAATTTTACACCATAACCACGCAATCACGAGTTCGCAGTTCGTCTGACTTCTTCAGTCTGTAAAGAAGGGTAGGACCATCACTGTTGAAATAGGTGGCAGATGAATAAATACTTATTATACCCTTGGTTATATTGTGTTCTCTGAGTTGTTTAGTCGTGGAGCTTTCATCATCTTTCTAGACGACATCATCAGTACTAACTTCAGTATTATACCCTCAATTATATTAGGTTTCTCTTATCATTTTGTAATCGGAAAACTTCAATTATAGACGAATAGTTTTGTTGTACTGCATAATGCTACATAATGCTTTGATGTCAAAATAACTATCCCACTGTTTATCATGTGAAGAACAGCAGGTTATTCAAATTAATGGTTCCTAGATGAAATTGAGATAACGAATTTCATTTAGAATTTACAAATATTATGGAATTAATATGGTCACCGACTTGTGGTGTAACAGTAGTTCGTAACTACTGTATGAACACAGATACCCCTACCATAGTTAGAAATATCTGCATCTTAATTCCCAGCATGAACTTCATCTAACTTTCGGAGTAAGCATGCATGTAACTGAAACTTTCCGCAGGTTATATTAAAAAAGTGATTGGTTATCGAAGAGTGACTGATTTCGTGTTTTCTAATCCTAAGTGCTTAAAGATCTACAGGCGAAAACTAACAAGTTGACAGAAGAGTCAGAGCACCGAAGGAAGACAGAACTCCAAGTGAATATACAGAAGATAGAGGCGATGAACATACCCAACCAACAACAACAACAACAACAACAACAACAGCAACAACAAGCTCCAATCACCATCAACAGGAGAAACCTAAAGAAAGTAGTCTCCTTCACCCACCTTAGTAGGCAGCATTGTTTCAACTACAGGCGGCACAAACGAGGACATAAAAGCCAGGATTGGAAAGACGGCAAGACGGACCTTCATTAACCTGAAACCTGTGTGGAGATCTTCTACACTGCAATCAGCATAAAAAGTGAACAAGATCCGGATCTTCAACACCAACCTCAGTCAAGTCAGTGCTTCTGTATGGCTCAGAAACTTGGCGCGTCACGAAAAGCATTTCCAACAAACTACAGACATTCATCAACAACTGCCACCTACACTGGCTCCTTACTGAAGATCAGATGGCCAGAATAGTTAGAATAAGCAACAAGGAACTCTGGCTGGCTGGCTGGCTGGCTGGCTGGCTGGCTGGCTGGCAACGAACCAACCAAGCACTCATCGCCCAACAAATATGCAGAAGGAAGTGGAGATGGATTGGATTGAACATACACTGAGAAGACCGATTGGGGACATCACGCAACACGCCAGGCCATCGAGTGGAACCCAAATGGGGAGCGACGAGTTGGTCATCCAAGGCGAGGGTGACATGAAGGAGATCGTGCGAGGAGGAAATGAGAGCTTGTGGGCTGTCGTGGAGCCAGGTTCAAAAGATTTCAGAGAACAGAGAGCATTGGAGACGTGCTACTGAAGCCCTATATTTTATTAGGAACCCAAAAGACAAATAATAATACATAATAAGTGCTAACCAAATTCTATTGATCATTTTTGTAATATGGTCAGCAGGTAAAGAGGTTCACTATCATGGTGATTTTAGTTGGTTCCAGGAAGCCCTGAACCTAGTTCGACAGCAGCTCGAATAGCTAAGTGGCAACGTCTGTGACTGCAGCAGTGAATGATACGGGTCCGAATCTCTGAAAGAACATCAGTTTCTTTGAGGTTTCAGATACAGCCAGTTGGTGAGTGCTACGAAACATACAGCTTAGGTTCAACGCTTCCTCTTAATTACCTCTCTCTAACCACTTATCAATCAAAAAGTACCGAGATGAGAAATCTCTTAGCTCAGTAACCGCATAGTAAAACGATAAACAAAACTCGACAATATGCAATTGGTCAATCCTCAGTGGCAATCAATGAAATATAGCGGGGCAATATTTGTTTTGGCAGCATGACTTCTGGATGGAAATGTAGCATATAAATCAGAATCAAATGACTTTTTGAAAATCTTCTGGATGAAGAGTGGAAGAAAACTACGGGCAACTAAAGAGTGCTAAGCACTTACCTCTGTCACTACTTTCGTCTTCTTAATCATTATTATCATTACTACAATTATTATGCTTCAATTTCTCTTTTCACTATATCTGTTCCGGTGCTTGTTAGTTATTCCAAGTAACAAATTTCTTAAGATAAGTGGTCCGACAAAAGATGTCTGGAAAACTGTAACTCGCTTTTTCCTCAAGGGATCAATAAGAGTAAAGCACGTATTAAATAATAAATAAACGGACAGTTGAACTACCTATTGTTTTTGATGTCATTTGATTGGTGATGGCTAGCAGAGTTGTCGATTGGATGTATCTGCATCCAAGTAAGTGGTAATGTCCCTAATAAGATTGGAACTCAGGACCCAAAGGTTTAAATACTAAATGGTTATGCACTAAGCTACTTAATCACAATAGCCACCACCTTTGCAACGGGTATGAGTTGTTATCCAAAGACATCTATACATGCTGATGTACATCCAGATGACTAGTCCTAAATAGCACGAAACTCACATCTTGGATCCCGCTACTAGCTACAACCAAAACGAATGACTTCACAGTTAATCTTCAGGGAAAATTGAGACATTCATATCGGACCCCAAATGCTACCGAATATCGATCAGTCAGGTCCAAAGTAACTATAAACGGGAAAATACAAATAACAATAGATACATCTTGCTGAAATCATTACAATGTAAACTAAAATAATCACGATTTAATAACTTACTATATTCGAAGTAGAATGATTATATTGATGAACAGAATCTTGCTTTCTTTGTCTATACTGCAACAGATAATGTATAATTACACCATTGGGTTTAATAGGCTGTGACCATGTGATACGAATATTGCCTGGACCATACGAAGATGTACGAATTGTTGATACAGGAATATTGTCGACTTCAACTGACAAAACAGAATAAAAACGATATATTTATGATAGCGTTTTGATCGCTGACTAACTGGTCAAAAATTATAATAATCAATAAGGATTTAAGATTCCAATAACTACCTTATCTTAGTAATGAGTAACTTAGACATCATCCAGTTGGCGATACCATCATGGTCTAAACATGCTACAAATGTAGTGGTAGCCAAAATATCTGTCTAACAAATATATAAGCTAACCACTTCAAAAAACTCTTGAATCGACCACCACCACCTTCAACTCGTTCAGAAATACCACCAGCAACGGCAGAACTACAAATGAACACAGACACTCAGACAAAAAGCAGAAGTCCTAAATGCCATAAAACTGCTGAAATCTGGCAAAACAGCAGGAACAGAAAGAACTCTGTTACGAGCACTGAAAACAGGGGCAGGCACAACAGCAAACATGCAGAAGGTTTGCAAGCAAGCAAGGAAGGAAAGGTACCTGCTCAATGATTGGAAGAAAGGGTACCTTGTCAAACTCGCAAAGAAAAGTGACATGAGTCTTTGCAAGAACTGGTGAGGAATAATGCTCCACTCCTGTTCACCCAAAGGAAGCAAAATATTAAGCCGCATCATCCTGGAGAGACCAAAGGATGCGTTGCATTCAAAACTACTACCGGAACAGGCTGGCTGGCTGGCTGGCTTCAGGAAGAACAAATCATGTGGGGGTCAAATTGCAACGCCACGCGTCACACACGAACAAAACATGGGATGGCAGTCAACTCTTTACCTCAACTTCATCGACTTTGAAAAGGTCTTCGACAGCGTTGACCGAGAAGTAATTTGGCAGGCAACTGCTTCAACACTACGTACGGTTTTAGTGCCACAAACTTTGATCCACCTCATTCAACAGCAGCTATATGCTATATGATGCTACATGCCGAGTGATTCACAATGGAAAGCTCAGTGATGATGCCTTTGAAGTGAAGACAGGAAGGGGTGAGACAAGGCTGTCTACTATCACTGATGATCTTGGTGATTGTGGTCGACTGGACTGAACTGGATCATGCAACTGGCAACTGTGAGGAGTGAGAAGAGGGGCATACGCTGGCTGTACTGGTGGAAAGAGCCTAGAAGATTTGGATTTCATCCATGACAATGACGATTCATGCCTTATGTTGTACAAGCTAGTGGATGTTTTGGCGAAATCTAACGAGTTGGCAGAAGAGGCGAGGCAGCGAAGACGGGACTTCCTTCAGGTGAACGTAGAGAAGACGAAGATGATGAAGATACGCAACCAACAACATCAACAACAAGCACTTAGAGGAAGTAGCCTCTTTCACCCACCTTAGTAGGCAGCATTGTTTCAATTATAGGCGGCGGCGGCACAGACGAGGATGTCAAAGCCAGGATCGGAAAAGCAAGACAGGTTTTCATTAATCTGAAATCAGTGTGGAGATCTTCTGCACTCAACATGTGGAACAAGATCCGGATTTTCAACACCAACGTCAAGTCAGTGCTCCTGGATGGCTCAGAGACTTGGCGCGATACGAAAGGTATTTCCAAAAAACTACAGACATTCATCAACAGCTGCCGCCTACACTGGCTCCTTACTGAAGATCAGATGGCCAGAAATAATAAACAACAAGGAACTCTGGCAACAAACCAACGAAGCAAGAGCCAATTGCCCAACAAATATGCAGAAGGAAGTGGAGATGGATTAAATTGGATTGGGCATACACTGAGAAGGCCGACTGGAGACATCACGCACCAGGACAGGCACTCGAGTGGAACCCAAAGGGGAAACGAGTTGGGCGTCCGAGGCGCAGGTGACATGGAGATCATGTGAGGAAGAAACGAAAGCTTGTGGACAGTCGTGGAGCCAGGTTCAAAAGAGAAGAGAACAGAGTTCAGTGGAGGCGTGCTACTGAAGCCCTATGTTCCACCAGGAGCCCAAGGGAAAAATAATGATAAACAGTAATATAAGGTGTTATTGCACAATTTTTAACAGGTTAGTTTTTGAAGAGAAACAGAGAGCGATATTTACCGATCGCATACACTTCTTTTCACTTCGAAAAATAATTGGTTAGAAAAAAACGGATATCTGTCAACTGACTGATTATGCAATTATATTTTTGCATCAAGATCCGAATTGCTCTAGATGATGAACGCTTGATGAGTTTGCACTAACGAACAAATAATGATTTTCTCTCTTAAGAGTAAGAGGAAAGTGTTGGGTTGAAGAAATTTACTCCAAGCGAAAAAAAGATAGAATATAGGCACAGCTGGTTAGTCTATAGTCTACACACAATAAAAATGTCCTACAAATAAATTGGCATATTAAATATGGAAAAATAGACAATTACAAATAAGTGTCGTTAACAGAGGTAAAAGAAAAATGCTACAGGAAAGGTGAATAAAGACATAGAACCAGAAAACTTAAGTTTTATCAAGAAAGTTTTACAATTACAAGGAGTGAGCGTCATTCTTAGAGAACTAACATCCCCAGTACTGTCAAAGCGGAATCTGATAAATTTCCAACGACAGAAAAACACTATTCACTAGTAGATATGGCTTTTACTACATTCTCAACAGATCTATAGGTCATTACGAGCAGTATGCATTTTCTGGATTACTTCTCCATCGATACAAAATAAATACAAAATGTAGACTGGAAAATTGACCTGTTAAGCATACCTTGCGGATTTACACGATTTATGACAGTAGACCTTGCACTGCACAGTGTATACTCGCATGCTGACCACAGATCCTGAAGTTGAGTAAGATTCAAATGTGCCTCAGCTTTTAAATCCACCCAAGGCGGTGAAATAGAACAATTTGTTTTCGATACTTGAATTTGTGAAATTGAACTAAAAGCCTGTAATAAAAGTTTTTTTGAAATAATAGCATACACAACACACGATTATAACTTATTCTGTGAAAAACAGAGAATCGAGGGAGAGTTAAAGGCATTATATTTTTATGAAAGTCAAACACAAAGAATCGAGAATAATAAGCTAATTGACGGTTATGACAAATGTAACTATCTTAAGTTGTACAACTTATTAATACACACATCGAACTGAAAGCAATCCTAAGGACAACAACGAATATAAAAACACAGACAATTGAAGTGAAGAGAAATCTTTCTTTTTAACGAAATCATTCTCTTAACTGTACATTCGTGAATACACGGTAAGAAGAATAGAACATTCTAGAGTAATTTCTGGCCGAAGGTCAATATAGACTGTATTGCAAAGGAAAGTTATGTAGTTCGGAAAAAACAAAAAAATTTCTTCGCTGCAGTCGTCTATGTTTTCCTATGTCCAAATGGGATTGTTTTGATACCTGAAGAATAGCAAAGACCCTTTGATGGTAGAAGAAATGGACAAGTTTCTGCGTTTTCCCATCAGACTTACAGAGGCGAATGGGAAAACTTCTCTCTTAAAGAAATGTGTGGACAGACATGAATATCATAAAATATTTTGGAAGAATTTAAGATGCAACTATATCTCTCCCAATTCATGCACTTTGAAATGACCCACTTCGAATTACATTGAAGCTGTTAGATCTCGAACTAGAATGACAACTGTCTTAAAAGAGCCACATTCTATTTGAATTATCTGCAGACAAAAGGAGAGAATTTGACAATTACGTTGTTGCTATCACCAAGAAGCGCACTGATAAAGTTAACATAAAACTGAACTAGAGTGTGAAGTCAACAACCCATAAAACTATTTTCCCTTTGTACCCAGAAAAGTATATATTCAACTATTCGAGTGTAACGCCGTCATCCATTCAAATGCAAATCTTATCCCTCGATCCAAAATACTGCGAAACAACATCCAAAGTTGATGAGCTTAACACAAAAATACAGTTCGAAAATGTGATCAGACGAAAGACCTAGTTCTGATCTCATCTAATGATCTTGGCCATTTCAAATCTACTGTTCTAAATTCCTGTGTGGATTACATAAATAGAAAATCCAATACTCGACATATCCTATCAAAGGAACAGTGGAATCAGTTACGGGATCTTCAGAAAAATGAAAGCTTAGTCATGATATACCTTGACAAAGGTGCTGGAATAGTGCTTCTGAACAAATCGGATTATATAGGCAAGCTTTTACGCATTCTGTCAGTTGGAAACAAATTTTCAAAACAACAGTTTAGAAAGACTTAACCGACTAAAGAGAGCGTCAATTGTCCAAAACACCGAAGATGATAGATGAAGCACTGATTAAAACTGAACTCTACAAACAGCTCCGTTCATTAGGTTCCTCGATCACTCGACTATATGGTCTACCCAAAGCACACCAAGGAAATGTCGCCGTTCGATAATAGACAACACTAATTCTCCTAGTCGCAAAATGGCTCAAGATGCTGGATCAAGTGAAGAATGAAATTCTGAAAAATAGCCTGTGCAACATATTTCATTTTGTTGATTTAATCAAAAATATCAGTCCGTTAAGAGCATAATTTCTCTAGATGTCATCTCCGTATTTACAAATGTCCAACTAACGGAAACCATTTGGTGTCAGCGTGGTCTTATTCAGTCCCATAAATCAAACACTTGTGTCCCAAATCACTATTGAGAGGAACCTCTTCTCAGACGCACTTCCAACGTGCCCTTCAGACTTAACAAAGAAATTTACAGACAGACAGTGGCAAAGGGATAGCCTCTAGGACCCCTACTAGCTGACTGCTTTAGGGTAAGCCTGGAAGATACGACTTTATCGAAAATAATCAGCAAGCTTCATATCTACAAAATATACATAGGTGAAACTTTTATAATTTGTGACGAGAATATGAATCTTGAAAAACCTGCTTCAAACTTTCAGTACTACTCATCCCTTAATCAAATTCACTCTAGAACAAGAGCAGAACTCAAAATCTTACTTCCTTGACATCCAACTTCAAAGAAAGGATGGCAATTCAGTCTAGAGTCCACTTGAAGCAGGCAGTTTATTCATTTTCACAGCTCTGTGTCTTTAAGCAGAAATAGGAATATAGTCAATGCACTCTCCCCAAGAATACGAAGAATATGCACGGAGAATACCATCCATGATTAACTGGAAAACTCACGAGATATCTTGATGAAAAATGGATACCCACTGAAATTTATAAGTGAGAATCTAAAGTCAGAAAACGCCACAGGACGAATTCAAGGAAGGTAATGCTGCAGATATAATTAGTAGAACGACGCTAGCAAAGTTCATAAGCAGAACTATTCTTTGCCCCCAATCTTAGAATCACACTCCCCTGTCAGAAACTCATTTGTCAGTGTGTAAAGGATAAGCCGGGGTATTGGGCCACATGCATGTATGTATATCAGTTTACTTGCTCCTGTGGAGCCGAGTAAATTGTCAGTACCATGTATCACGCTCGTGAACACTATTCAACTTGGCTGACAAGGGCAGAACGGAAATGTATCCTCAGCTATGTAATATAACACTTAGTAAACCTAGGATATTTAGCTCCTTTTGATAAGTTCTCCAAAGTTTTGTACAAAGCGCGATCACGCCACTCGAAAGGAGTGAGGTTAAGACATCTGGGGATAGCTAAGGCACTAGTGGTTCAAAAGTGTAAGCTATCATTATGCGCTCAAAAGAAGTGTGTACAACCTATTGATTTTCTATGGTTATCGTAAATCATCGATCACTCGAAATAAAAAACATATGACGTAGCAACCACTTTGTTTATTTCCTTTATTGCGTAACTTTCGGTTGTGATGCAGTTTATATTGACAAGAAATTACTATGGAATGATCTATCCTTTTTGCTATGTATTCAGGAATGTACAGTCAAGAGAATGACTTCGTTGAGAAAAAAAAATGTTTCTTCGCTTCAATCGTCTGTATTTTCCCAATGTTCAAATGGGAATAAAAGTCTTTTTAACAACCAAAAGATATGCATAAAAATACATGGTATTTCCTCTTTAAGACTGATTCTTAGAAAAATCCTTGCACTGCTCTCCAAAGCTACAATTGTTTAAGATGTTTTCACTGATGTTAGGCGTCCTTTGTTCCCCAAAAGTATTGATGACATCTTTTGCAAAACTAAATATTTCAGTCACTCAAAAGAATTCGAAAGACGCCTCAACTATCTACTAAGTGCTGTGTACGGTCACAAATTTTCTGGCCCACCAAATTTCAGGTGTATTATCACAGTTGTTTACAATTCGCAAAGTAAGCAATCGCCTACCTAATAAGTGATATTGTTAGCATGGATTTTTTTCCAATACTTTTGTGGCATAGTTGCACAGTCTTGTGTTTCTAATATGTTGTTTTGTATCACATATGTATACACTGTGTACATTCACAGATTGTACTGATTACTGTTTTTTACAGTCACTCTAAAGGTCACCCTATAATAACAACTGAAATGGCCAGTTAAGTGTATTTATTTCGACTAGAAAGGCAGATTTCCATAAAACAAAGAAGACTAATTAGTTATTTCAGTTGTCGATAGGATGGCTTATACAGTCACTCCAACTTCGTCATAATACAGAGGATGTGACTTTACAGGTCACCTTAACCATGCAAATGACCAACTAGATACCATAGCTTTATATAAAATCCATAGACGTAATTGGCTACTGAAGTAGTTGCTAGCATAGCCTTCAATGTCGCCCATATTTTAACACAACTATGAACAGCTTGCACTAATTCTTCTTCAGACATTAAAGGGAGGTGTGTGATAGTTTTTAAAAACAGAGATGATTTTGACGCTCTTTGTGAGAAATCTGTTCAGATAAAAATATTTGGTACTCTAGACTATATCTTCTCAAAGAGAACAGATTTTTTCGTATTGATCACCTGAATTATTGTAATATTCTGTTATTCAAGTTTTGGTAATACATCCTTATTTTCAGATTCATGGTCTGTCTTGCCGTCTTTCCGATCCTGATTTTGACGTCCTCCTCTGTGCCACCGCCTGTAGCTGAAAAGGTGATGCATAGGAAAGTGGGTGAAAGAGACTACTTGCTTTACATTTCTCCCGTTTATGGTGACTGATGCTTTTCGTTATAGCTGATGTTGGTTGCGTATCTTCATCATCCTCATCTTCTCTACGTTCACCTGAAGGAAGTCCCGTCTTCGCTGCCTCGCCTCTTCTGCCAACTCGTTAGATTTCGCCAAAACATCTACTAGCTTGTACAACATAAGGCATGAATCGTCATTGTCATGGATGAAATCCAAATCTTCCAGGCTCTTTTCATCAGTACAGCCAGCGTATGCCCCTCTTCTCACTCCTCACAGTTGCCAGTTGCATGATCCAGTTCAGTCCAGTCGACCACAATCACCAAGGTCATCAGTGATAGTAGACAGCCTTGTCTCACCCCTTCCTGTCTTCACTTCAAAGGCATCATCACTGAGCTTTCCATTGTGAATCACTCGGCATGTAGCATCATATAGCATATAGCTGCTGTTGAATGAGATGGATCAAAGTTTGTGGCACTAAAACCGTACGTAGTGTTGAAGCAGTTGCCTGCCAAATTACTTCTCGGTCGACGCTGTCGAAGGCCTTTTCAAAGTCGATGAAGTTGAGGTAAAGAGTTGACTGCCATCCCATGTTTTGTTCGTGTGTGACGCGTGGCGTTGCAATTTGACCCCCACATGATTTGTTCTTCCTGAAGCCAGCCAGCCAGCCAGCCTGTTCCGGTAGTAGTTTTGAATGCAGCGCATCCTTTAGTCTCTCCAGGATGATGCGGCTTAACATTTTGCTTCCTTGGGGTGAACAGGAGTGGAGCATTATTCCTCACCAGTTCTTGCAAAGACTCATGTCACTTTTCTTTGCGAGTTTGACAAGGTACCCTTTCTTCCAATCATTGAGCAGGTACCTTTCCTTCCTTGCTTGCTTGCAAACCTTCTGCATGTTTGCTGTTGTGTCTGCCCCTGTTTTCAGTGCTCGTAACAGAATTCTTTCTGTTCCTGCTGTTTTGCCAGATTTCAGCAGTTTTATGGCATTTAGGACTTCTGCTTTTTGTCTGAGTGTCTGTGTTCATTTGTAGTTCTGCCGTTGCTGGTGGTATTTCTGAACGAGTTGAAGGTGGTGGTGGTCGATTCAAGAGTTTTTGCTTGCAAACCTTCTGCAATAGTGGTGTGAGCATGTCTACTGATGTCTCTGCGTATGTTTTGAATGCTTCTGGAGGAATTCCGCCTAGTCTTGCTGCTTTCCTGGCTTTCAGTAACCTTATAGTGTTCAGGATTGTACTCAGTTCCTCTTTTCGTCATTCATCCGTGCACTGCACTGGTTTATCTCCTGCTTCACTATCTTCCTCTCCCTCCTCATTCAGCTTCCACGTGTCCGTCAAGATCCGTTCCTTGACTTGCTTCTTCTTCCTTCTTAACACAGTCATGCAAGTTCCCCTTCACTGAGTTCTAGTTTTCTTCGATGCAGGTTTTCTCAGGAATGTTGCTTAGTGTCTCCCATTTTTTCCAGATGACTGACTGACGTGAAGATGTCCTTTGTAATTTCGTCCTTCAGTTTCCGGGTGTTGGACTTGAACTGTGGTCTATCATCAGCTTCTTCGATGGTTCCTTGCACTAGATAGTGAGTGGTCTGAACATCTGTCCTCATCTTGATCTGATGTTGTGTCCATTAGGCTGCGTCTCAACTTTCTTCAGATTGAGATTAAGTCCATCTGATTTTTAGTGTGTTCATCTGATGAAATCCATGTCCCTTTGTGAATATCCTTGTATTATTACACACTGCCTCCAATCACAATATCATTAAAGGCGCAGAAGGCTGCGCCAAATTCCTCTCGACCCATGATGGCGTTTCTTCTTGTGTTTTGCATTCATGTCATGATCAGCAACCATTTACATATGAGCATATTACTCCAAAAGTTATGCTTATCGTTAAGAAATGCTAATGATACCACCTATTTGCACATACTTCAGTAAATAGAGTGGAATGTGATCCTAGGACCTCTGGTTAACAGTTGAAAATCTAGACCACATTTACAAGTAAGCATTTAATGCAAGAAATCTTTGAAGGTGTAAGTTGATTGAAGAAAAAAGGAGATTAGTGCGGATAGATAAGAAAACATAAATTAAGCTCACTAGGCACGCCTGTATTTCTACAAGCACTTTGGTAAACGGTGCAAATCCTGTTAGAAGTTGTGTATTCTCATTATTTGCTTGAATGCATGTTTCTTGGAGATTTTGATGCATATAGGAAACATGTTTACTCGGCAAATTATTCTTCTTCACAAGTAAGCCGACTGTTCCAGATGCCAAATATTTAAGGGAAGAAGTTTCCGTTACTGAAAATGAAGGCAGAAATATAAGTATTTTGTAAATAAGATAGTTAACTTATTCAAACAATGTTATGGTTACGTTTACGATCCTACGAAATAAGTAGTGTACTGTTTAGAGCCTATGAAAATGACAAACACTCCTCGATAACATGGAAATCACAGAAAGAGGTGAGGTGGGATTTTTTTTAAAGTCAAATAGGTGTTGAAACCAAAACAGACTTCTTTTCAACACTACTGGTGCTTAGCAAAATTATTGAATAAGCACTAAGAACATCATGTGTACGTTTTAAGATACATCGATATTTTTTACTTCCACATAACTTAAACGCGTTGCCCACAGTCAGTGACTTTTGCATGACTTTCTTAAGAATAATATGGATGAGATATGGATATCCATCCTAAAAAGGAGTAACCTCTGATGTTAATGTGATGCACACTAAATGTGGAGATGTGGTTCATTGGTTAAGGGAGCTGACTTTCAACCATTTGGATACGGGTTCGTCATCATCATTATCAACATAGGACCAGGCATTACTGCGTAACGGTCCGAGTTGCCACACCTCATATCAGCACATCAAGTAAAAAGGTAGTGAGGTGAAGGATGAAGATAAGTGAATGCAGTCAAAAGAAATATAAAGTACGAGAAGAAAGGAAAGAGGAGTGACAAAATAGTGAGATTCGGTATAGCGTTGTTAAGATGAGGATAATGTGTGTATACATCTGCGCCACTGACTTCGGTTCTGAGCCATATCACCTAGGGTCTCCAACCACTGGTTCCTCTTGTCCCGTGGACCCCAACCACCTAGTCTGCATCGTCCTACATGGCTTAAACCAACAGTCAGAGACTTCATACATTGGTGCCATGTTTTAGTCTGGCCACCTCGGGCCTTTTTCCAGCCTGAACCCACCTCAGCCAACATTGTGTGACGAGGCAATCGGTGACTAGGCATACGTAGTACGTGTCCCAACCATCTCAGTCGATGAAGGTTCACAACCTCGTCAACTGACTTACCTCTTCTCCCAAAACTCTACACCTAACTTCTGCATTACTCACATGGTGACACCACGGAATACGTCCTATACTACGAAGGCAACGGTGGTCAAACACCTGAAGCCTTTTTGTATCCTCCACTTTCAATGGCCATGTTTCACAGCCATACAGTAGAACAGAGCGGACTGCTGTGCAGTACACGCGACCCTTAATAGACAAACGAATATCACGGCGGCGCCATAGGTGGCGCAAATTGGCAAAAGCCAATCGAGCCTTTTGTATCCGTGCAGAAATCTCATCGGCAACTAACCCACCAGGGTTGATCCTACTTCCCAGGTAAGTGAAGTGGTCAACACACTCAACCACTTCACTCTCTATTGTTAACCGCGGTACCGCTGAAGACCAGTCCTGGAGCAAAAATTTGCATTTGGGTGGTGAAAATCGCATCCCAAACATTCTCAAATTCCCACTCAAAGTGTTCAGAAGACTCTGCATCTTGTCAGCGTCTTCACCTAACAGGACTATGTCATCTGCATATTCTAGATCTAAGGAAAATTCACCTGTGATGGGTCAACGTCTGTGTAATTAGGTGACGAGAGGGAAACCTCCATAAGAATATCTATGATAAAATTAAATAAGAATGGGGATAGTGGGCATCCTTGACGGACACCACTTGATGAGTATAGCTCCCTGGACAACTCACCATAGGCTCTAACATGCCCACAAGTGTTCGAGTAGAGAGCTTTCAATAAGGTGATGTACTTACTAGGCACGCCTTTCAGTGACAGACACTGCCATAAGACTTCTCGATCAACGGAGTCAAATGCCGCCTTCAGGTCGAGAAATACAGCTATTGTCGGGCGTCTGTAAGCATGCCTATGTTCCAGGACCTGGCGCAGTGTGAATATTTGGTCGATACATCCACGGCCAGGTCTAAAGCCTGCCTGGTTTTCTCGGGCTTGCTGTTCCCGAGCTCCACTCAGGCGTCGGAGAATTATAGAACTTAGGATCTTAGACACTATGTTTGTCAGGCTGATTCCTCTGTGGTTATCACAAGAGGACTTCTCGCCTTTCTTGAAGACTGGGATGATCAGTGACTTAGACCAGTCGGAGGGGATCGTATTTGATTCCCATATACTGGCTAACACTTCCGTTAGCCTGACTAAGAGAACTCTACCACCATTCTTGTATACCTCAGCAGGTAGTCCGTCTGGTCCTGCTGCCCTTCCCGTTTCAGGCTACCTACCGCTTTCTCAACTTCTTCTAGTGTTGGGGGCCTGTCTCTATGTCCCATTCAGGATCCGACTGGATAGCGGGCAACGCAATCGTGGCTGGAGGCCAGTTAAACTGTTCCTCAAAGTGTTCTGCCCATCGTTCCAGTCGTCTCCCCTGCGAGTGAATCGCAAATCCATCCTTCCCCGCTATAGCCTCACGGATACGGGTTCGAGCATCACTCCACCTACCGAGGTTTGGATGGCCATGTAGTATCATTAGCCTTCTCACAATAGGTGTGGCTCATTGCCTGATGAACGAATGTGTACAAGGCTCCGTAATGCATTTACAGTTTGATTTTCAGCACCACTTTGTTAACACAAAAAAACCGGTAAACAGAATAGTGGACGATTCAACTCTTAATAAAAAAGTAAATACTTAATAATTATGTTCATATCGTTATAATGTACAATTATCATGTCACAGATCCTCCTTCACTTTCTTTAAGACCAGTGGGAAGGTAAACAAACGTTGCAGTAAAACGCAGGATCGGATGGGAAAATTTTGAAAAACACTTCTGTTTCCCGAAAATTATGCCTATAAATTAACAACCATTGATTATTCTCAGTCACAGAATCTAGAAACAAATCAAGTCACCCAAAAGTTTTCAAATGAATATTGGGTTAATTCGTTCCAGCGAAGGAGTATAAAGACGCACGCATTTTCACAATCGATTTGAGTGCATATAAACACGTTTGGTGTTTCCTGCTTTGAAGTTTTTTTGATTTATTAGTGACTGAGTCAGAGGAGTGAAACAAGTATACGGAACAAGTTTGTCATCGCTCTCCAGTTGTATAATTCTAACCTATATTGCCTCAGCCTAATTTCCTATTATAATATAAGTAATCCAATGAACGGATAAGATCCTAGATGTACACTCCATCTTATCAAGAGGACTCCTTAGTTTAAACATCCACAATCCAGTAAGTACTGATTTTCCCACTGATATTCTAACCCGTTTCACCCGTTACCAGAGTCTTTCACCAAAATACTGATTTGTAATAGACATTTTTTCAACGTGTATGACCAATTTCATGATTCGGCAATACGATAAATAAATAATAAAAGCGCATGAAATCATTACCAACTTTTGCTGGCAAAACCATTCCAGATTCATCTGTCATCCATCTGCTCACAGACGATGGCCAATGCTTTCCATGCAAAGAAGAAACCATTCGTAGGCTAGACAAATACAAAATAAATCCTGTATACATAGTTCAATTAGAGATGACCACTAAATGCAGGTATTTACAGGCATCCAAATTTTTAATAATTAGGATTAAAATAAACCGATAACTAGGGAGGTAATATTTGTTATGATACTTGTAATTTCCAGAATTGCTCGACCTCTGTTGGCATATAGGTTCCTATCCAGATGCCTCGGGAAATTACAAATACCATAACAACTACTGATACTCATTGCACAAGAGGTGGCTATCGCGCCTCAGTGGGTGACGCTTTGGGATTTGAAGCGAAGAGTACTGGGTTTGAACCCCAGTGGGAACAATATCATCCACTGGGGTGCAAGTGCATTCAGCTGACGAGTCCCGAATAGGATGAAACGCGCGTCCTGGATTCCTCTGCTAGTCACCAAGATGAATATAGAGAAGGTAGTAAATATTTAGACCTTAGCGATGACTATATCATATCTATCACGGCTGCTTTACAGTAACTCACCTAACCAGCTCAATCGATTAGTGAATTAAATTTGGTGGTAAGTGAGTGAAGACCATTAGGCATGCTGTTTGCAATATCTAGATAGCAGTAAAATAGGAAATGGTTATTCTACGAATAAGATTCAGATCTTGGTTGGTCATCTTGATTATTTCCGTGAATTATCGGTAAAGTGGGAAAGTATTAATGATAGTTTATTCAATTTGACTTGGTAAAAAGTTATCATCATAACACTACTCATCTACTTTGTAAACATCCCTATCAAAGGTGATGGATGTGATGAATCAGTCTTACATGATGTTGTTTATAAGACATTAGGACAATATGTTTTACGTTGCTCAGGGAAAACTGACTTTTCGCCTGTGAATAACCTAAGAATAACTAAGAAATATACAATTTTTTGCATTGGTGTGCTGAATGTTAAAGTTTCGAAAGGTTGATAGGAAATACACAACAAGATTGAAGTTACATCTATCATCTGCTTACAAAATGTCCCTGCAAACAGATAGACATAGTACCATAGTGACAAATTCAAACATCAAGCGTTTTTTTGGCTCGAACGTTTGGAGAAAGTTCAAGGAGACGAGGAATCGTAACAGTGGCTACAATCTCACATATCTCTTATGAAAAAAAATGGCAACTTTAGCTGTCATTTACATCCAAATCAAGTTTTTTCAGCTACCACTAGTATGTTCATGCAATAAGTAAAATGACCTACAACACTTACGATGTGGAGATTAATCATACTATCTCACTGCCTGAACCTTGATAAGTGAAACAGGATTAGAGCCCATGACCGTCTTATTTGAAAGTCAACTAGTTAGAAAAACAACCCCTAGCTTTACACCCCTTTATGCATACTACTACTACTACTACTACTACTACTACTACTACTACTACTACTACCAATCAGATCAGTACGCAGCACAAGAATTCAAGATAACTTCGAATTTGGTGTTTAGAGAAATTCGACGGTCAGAAGAACTGTTCGGTTCCTTGACATTTCTTGCATTTTCGAAAACTGCGTAGCATAGATTAAGTTAATTACTAACAAATTAGTTTGTGTTTTATATGCAAAAAAAGTGGAATGGTGAAGTGTATTAATATGAGTAAGGATAATATTTTATGAATGATCAAGTCAATTGAAAAGTATAAGGGATCCAAAGTAGATGAATGAGTAAATGATAGTGGCGTGATTTAATTGAAAAGTGAAGATTATATGAAAGAGCGAAAATGGATATCATTCAGATAAAATGTGATATGCAGTAAGAAAGTTGAAAATGACACATGACATGAAAATAGATTAAAATAGCATAAAATTAAGACAAATTCACGAGGAGCTAATTGTGTGGAAACATGCAGTCAAAATGGTAAATGCTAAACTTTGTACGGTCTCTTCCACTAGCTTAAATCTAGCTTACTGATTTCATAACATGATTTTACAGATATCAGGAATACCAGCGACTCATCCTTATATAGATTGTAGGACAGTACAATATTTGTTGGAGAGTAAATCAACTAAATCACAGAAATGGACAATTATAGCAGAAAATATTGACATAACAATATTAAAACAACAGAAACCACTTACTTTGAAAGTTGTTCAATTTCATACAGATTCGGACAGGATAAACATGTCTCACAAAAATCATTCGTAAATGCTACCTGACCTGAATCTTTTAGTGAAACGCTATCACGCCAACCTGACTGCATCCAGTTGGGTTCTAAAATAATAATAATAATCAGGTTTAGTAAGCTGAAGAAAGTTTTCATTCATTTTGTCAATCAGTCACGATGTCAATTAATAAACTCAACAAAAAAGCGATTTGACTTAAACTCAATATTTCACACATTTGTTTGTCATCGAACATACTATTGTCCAAAAATAAAACCACAAATGATTTTCTTGTTAACGTATTCACGTCAGTGTTTCCTACCAATAAGTAAAACACTCGTCCGGTGTTCAGCGTACCTCAAACTGGTTAACATACAACATTATATTAAAATATAAGCGGTTTGCAACTGTTCACAGTGGTCAGAAGTTTACAGAATAGTTCATTAATGTGCCCTTCCATTTTTTAGGCCAATGGCTCTTACCTTGACGCGGTAGTCAGGCTTACATATCACAACGATTCACCCAGCTAGACAGCTGAGAACAATTGTTCCCTTGAGGTCCTAACTTACCAGAAAGGTCTGTATAGTATTATGCTTTAATGACGCTCCAGAGGCTAAGTAGTGCTACCAACTGGAAAGGGATGTAACAGTAGTAAAGTGTTTCCAGAGGATGACCAACAGTACCATGCTGACGCCGCCTTTCCTATGGGGAAAACGTTTAAAAAAAGTCATCCTCAAAAAACAACCCACCTAATCTGTTATCTTCTGGTGCCGGCGGTATCGGTTTATATTTCGATCCAAAACAAATAAACAAACTTAAATCTTCGGAAAAGGCCGTGTATGCGTTAAGTAGATATCCTTTAGGCTTCGCGGTCACGTACCATCATTACTAATCCAACTTTATGTTTAAGTACCTTAAGAAAAAGTAACCTACAGTGGTGTTGGCGGCTGGGAACTTTCAACCGCCCTTACAACTCATCAGCACTCCATTTTAATGGCTGTTCATCCTACTCAATTACCTTGCTCTAAATGGCTTAGGATATTTACCACACAATCTGCCAGTAGAAACTATGGTTTGCTCAATCTTAAAGCAATCACCTCTTCGCTTTGTGCTTAATTCAGTGAAACATCAGTCAAATGATAATCTAAATGTACCACACCATAATACAATTTTCGAATCTATGAATTTAAGGTAGTTTTACCCTGTATACATTGATTATTTATATCTATATGATTTACGCAGCTATTATGAATGTTCTGATTTTATTGTTAAGATCATTTAGACGTACTTCAAGTGATTAAGATGCTTATGAAGAGATAAGTAGGTTAAATAAATGAATGGACATCTGATTATCGATTTGAGTTGAACCTGACTTGTGTTAACGTGACCTACTTCGCAAGATAACTTTGATCTAGTTCCCGATTAAAGGTCGTAACTATCATAGCGTACATAATAAGCGTTGAAAACCAGGATCTTCTGAAAATAGCCGGTTGTTAAAATATAACTGAATGTCAATAATGGTAATAACGAGTGCTAGTAGACAGTAAAACTTTCGGTAAAGAATTGTACTTAAAATAAAGAGTAATTTGTCAAATGAAAAGATCAGCTATATAGAGAGATGTAAATGTTAACCTATCACGATAAAAAGTATTCACAACTTACTATGTACACAGAAGTCTCGTTCAGAATACTCTGATGGCTTATCTTCGAGAAAATGAATCCATATTAGGTAGGAATCAATAGTTCCACTTGGTTTTGATGGTGGTATCCACGTTAAACGAAGTGAAAAGTTATCTACAGGTTCTAACCATAGATACCGCGGTGCAGAAGGGTCTAATAAGAAATATATATTAGTAACTTGGATAATCAGGGAAGTCTATGCAGAATGAAATAATTGATGCCTAAAAAAGGCTTGTGATCCACTTATCGTTGGCATAGAAAATAAATACTTTGGAAATAATAATTTGTTCGCGCTAAATAAAAACGGGCATATATGAACTAACAATAACATAATGGAAGTTCGAAATACAGTTAGTTGCATCGAGTTGAGATGTATATGAAACAATAAAAAGTTCAGAGTTATGAGCAAGATAGAGTGAAGATATCTGAATCACCGACATCAACTCTGAGCCATATGGCATCAACCCAGCAAAAATTATCCTGAGAAACTGACTGCTTTCTGTAGTTTCTACTAATATTATGTCGAATGGCAGTGAAAGTCTATCGATAAAACCATTCAGTTCACAGAAACCAATGCTATTCAAAACCATAATTCTCACAAATCTTAAGAACAATGGTGTAACTTCTATGCTTTTCGCATGATAAAACTGATATGATACATGTTTGAGTGACTATGAAATACCGATAAGGCAGGGGCTGGACTATCCATGTAAAAAGATATGAACAAACCAAGAAGAATAATAGTAGCAGAATTAGTATACATGCATTTGGAGGATTTTCTTCAGTTGCTTTAGAACATAGAGAAAATGGTAAACAATATGTTATACAACATACTTTAGTAAATTGACAAAACTTTATACGAATTGAGATGGAAGGTAACAAAGATTGAGGTTGACCGATATTGATGAAGTTGTTAAGACTACTTAAAAGGTCAACTATTTATGCAGTGATATAATGAACATTCTAGAGAATATATATAATTATTTTGGAGGTTTGTGGAGATTTATTGGTTTCAGGTTGGTATTTATCATGGACTGACATTAATTGGAGAAACACTGTAAACCTGGGAGGACTGGACAGCTATTTCGTTCTAGTTTGGGACTTCCCAGTAGTGAGCACCCATGAACCCTCAAGTAATTGAACCCAGGACCTTCAGGTTTTGAGGCCATCACGTTGTCAATGAGCTACTGGGTCACAGTTCAATGATTCATATTTCCTACTTCAATCAGTTCATAATATAGCGTGATCTCCATTTAATGACGTTGTTGAGTAACTGACCTCATTTACGACTTGGTTGGCCCCACCGGTAACGACTTCTCATTGAAACTTCGGGAATCATCGTTCGGATCCAGCCACCAATGAGCACTAGATTAATTCAATTCTGAGGGGGGAGGGGGATTTATTTATTGATTTCTAGTTGATATTCATCATAGACTAACATCAGTTGGATATATATATATATATATATATATATTCCTTCCAACTCAACCGAAGCATTCTTGTCGATTCTTAAAAGTACGTCGTGTATTCTTTTCATTATAAACATTATATTCTATACAAACGACAGGTAGTGGCTAGCAGTGGGATCCAGGAGGCGAGTTCCGTTCTGTTTGGGACCCATCAGTTGGGTGTATCTGCCTCCCAGAGGGTTTAGTTCCCCCCTAAAACTCAAAACCAAGAACAATCGCTTCAAATCCATGTGAGAGAAGGAGCGAGAAAGAGAAAAATGACGACAAAAAATTATTATGATACTCCAACTTACTGATTGATAATGTTGTAAAGTAAACCAGGTTGCTAATAGCACCAGTTTGCCTCAGGGGGAATTTCAACTCCACGTAGACAGCGTAACGTGAAGCAGGTTCTAATTCATTCAGAGTTGTACTGCAAATTGATTCTGAATTAGGAGGTTTTGAAATACTACCACCGCCAATGTTTGAATCACATGATACTGTTAGCATACGCCATCTGAACAGATAAAGTGTGGTTTACTTAACTTCCAGGTACACAATGCAATATGTTTTGATATACAAAGTAATAGCCATAATGTCATACATATATCTCTAGAAAATATTTGTTTCACCATACTGGCCTGCAGAGGTTAAGTGAATAACTGCACTTGGGTTCTGTATGCGTGTCTCACAAACACAGCACACATCCATGGTCCGAGTTGCTACAGTTTCGGTCAATAAACCTTGTTGGCCAAGTTGACGGATGGTGTGGACATTGAAGGCTTCAATGTGTAATTTGAAGCGTGGTTTAAAAGACCAGTGATGCTGTTATGTGAACTCATCGTTGTCGCAGGCTGAAGAGCTAAAAGGAATTAAAGGTGATGTAAGATTTTTAACTGAGAAGTGAAGGAAGATTGGCAGATGTGGACGAGAGAGATGGATGGTGGTTTGAGGGAACTTGAGCGCTGAAAGAGTTTTGAGGGCGTTTGACACAATTCCCGGGGTTCAAAATTCATATTGGTCAGACGATATTTGAAAGTCTTATTACTTCAACGATATTTTAATCATTCACATTGACCAATTGGAGAATAAACAGAAACAGATCTTACATCAAGAAAGCAAAACCAATCAACATGATCTCCAATGAAATGAAAGTGATCATTTGGTAGTAGTTTTCAATAAAGTTTTTCTAATTAAGATAGCATTATGAAAGATTTGTCACGCTGATATTCATCATGGACTGAGATCAGTTGGAGAAACATTAGAAACCTAGGAGCACTGGACAGCCGTCTGGTCCTTCCTAGGGGACTTCTCAGCAGCACCCACCCATAATCCCGCCAGGGGGCGAATCCAGGACCTTCGAGTTCCCCGTCAGCATGCTAAGCCATTGGCCCGATGTGCGATGGTCTACATTTCCCATTCCCATCATTTCGCCATATTGTGTGACCTCCATCCAATCCCGTCGTGCAGTAACTGTCCTCACGTCCAACTTGCTTCGAGATGAGATTCTCGAAGTTTTAGTGAGAAGTCGTGACCGGTGGGGCCAACCAAGTAGGAAATTAAGACAGTTGCTCAATGACGGCATTGAGTGGAAGTCGCATTATATCGCGGAAGTAGAGATATATGGACCATTGGATTCCGACCCAGTGGCTCAATGGTAACGTGCTGGCCACAGAACCTGGGCTCGATCGCTGGTGCGGTCGTGGACTGCTGATAAGTCCCATACTAGAGCAAAACAATTATTCAGTGCCTCCAGGTTGCCAGTGGTTCTTCAACTAATACCAGTCCATGATGAATATCAACTTGAAATCAATGAACAAATCCCCACACACCTCCAAGTAGAAACGTTTTAGTTAACTGTTTGACGTATTGTATCATTAAATCTGATCTAGATTTTTATAGCGTTAGTTTTTTAAGAAATATGAAATCAAAATCAACTATTAGGTGGTAAACATCCTCATGGCAAATAACTCAGTGCTTTGAATCAAATAAAAATAAAAATAATAAAAATATTCCAGCTATCTTAATGTAAACCATAGTAGTATAACTTACTTGCAACCTAATTAGTACTACAACAGTATAATACGTATATGACCAGAAAAATTAATGATTAAATGTATAAACTTACGATTTTTTGTCGTACATTCGTCTAACTTTAATGTTCGGTAAATCTTTAGGACTGAAAAGTAGGAAAGATAAGTAAATCAAAAATAATAAAGAGGCAGTTTGTTATCGCTAGTCAATGTCATATTAAATTAACAGATGTGATACTATTTGAACATCATGTTCGAATAAAAGTTGACAGCAACATTGTAATCAGTTATTAAAAGCACTAGCACTTCGACTGGTAACCTAACAATCCAAATACGGCTTGAACTGAAGATCTATTACTCAATATTGCAGAGGGATTGTAGTTTCAATATCTCACCAACCATGAAGTAACAACTTTATAATACTATACACACCCAGAGCTATACCTTATCAGTAAGCAAAAGAAACCAACAATATCATTGAAATCTGAGAGTAAATAGTCCGAAGCGTTTTATTACTCAGTGACAGTTGAATTCCGTTATGCGCTAAGCATCTGCTTCTGGCATTAAAGAGTTGAAGGTTCATCAGCAAAACGTCTCATATTAACATTCTGTATCAATTAATGACTACCAACATGGTAGATTGGCAAAAACAAGAAGAAACGCTTGATTTCAGTGTGTGTTTTGCAGCAGTGCTAGTAATAACTGCCAGAAGTCAAGAAACTTACGTTCTGAGCATCCTACCAGATTATGGTTTACATAATCACGAACCATGTAACATTTTACACCTGTTAACATTAGGCTGTCTGACCTCCTGACTGAGTTGTATTCGAACTCGTAACCCATCGGTTAAGAGTTCTGTGCCTAGACGAGTAACCCAAGCTTCAGAACTAACCAGTTTGCACCAAATAAAGTATATCGAAATGTTAGGGAATTTAATCTTATGGTCATGTACAAATTAAATGACAGCGACTGACTGGTGGGTACAACACTGTTTTCTACCCAGTTAATAAGTACGAATCGAATCAAAATGCACTCAGTAACCTTGTGTACATTCGTACAGCAGGCAATGAGCCACACCTATTGTACGAGGGGCAATGATACCACCTGGTTCCCCAAACCTCAGAAGGTGGAGCGGGGCTCTAATTTTTCAAACTACCAACAAGTTTCTTCAATTTTATCCTACCATCCACCCACTTAACGTTTGAAGCTGTGGCTCAACGGTTTAGGCATTCGACTTCCAATCGATGAGTTTTTCGATTGGAACCTCAGTCCACCTACCGAGATTTGGGCAGTTAAGTAGTATCATTAGCCGTCACACAATAGATATGGCTCATAGCCTATTGCACGAACGTGCACATGGTTTCTGAGTGAAGTTCAACCTTTTTTCTTTTCTGTTCAATGTTATCACATTCAAGGAGCATGCCAAACATCCAAACTTGTTAACACAAAATTATCAAACGTTTTAAATAATGATGCATAGAATACATTTATTGTAATTAGCAGTAAACTCAGGAACCATTTCATTCGGCAAGGGACTCTGCAACTTTATGTACCCAAATTTCAGTATAACTTAACTGAAAATGAAATAGCTGTATTATCAAAAGTCAGGATAACGTACTACGCTCTCAAATGAGTAATTTCCGCCAATATTGCTTAAAAGTAGTAGAACGGAGATATATATAACCATTGCAATATCGTATATTCAACAGTGTGTAGCTGTGGGTCAGTGGTTTATAGAGATGACTATCAACCATCAAGGCTCGCTTTACCTACCGAGGTTTGGGCAGTCAGGTAGTATCACTAGCCCTCACACAACAGGTGTGGCATATTGCCTACTATACGAATGTGCACAAGGTGGTTGAGTCCGATGGATGAGTGATGTTCGATAGTCAAGGGAGAAAACATCCGCAAACAAAATATGCAGAAGTCTTTCAGAAACGAATACTACATATATTTCAAAAGCAACCATATATCAAATATTACAACTCACGCTAGTTGACAGAATAGATAAGTTAATACAACCTCATCCACAGGATTAAATTTTGCATTATCTGACTGTATAGATGAAATGTCATCACATGACGATTTACTGACAAACTGGAAAGTGGATGGATGAGGCCATGTAACACGAACACTGTGTGAACTTAAATTGCTGAGTTTCACGTCGAATTCACTCCAATTACCTTTTTAAAAAATAGTAGTGGAACAAAAAGCAGAATTAGTATGCATATGACATTATGAATCATTAGAAGATGCATTCAATCACAAAACAAGATGCAGAAGTTATATTTGTGGTAGCTCTGAAGTTTAAATGGTGAAACAATTGATCTAGAACTCTAACCACTTCCATTGTAGTTGTTTTTCACAGTAGATTAGTTCAACTATTCCTTCAAGTACACGACAACAGAAGCATGATGATATACAACCATAGTGAATTATCGTAACAGTATACAATTGTTATTTTATAGGGCTTTTAAACACAGAGTGTACAATGTAACCATGTTAGGCTGTTTCAATCGTTCACTAAGTGATGCTGACGTTAAATATGAACAGGTAAAAAGACTGTAAATCACGTAATAAATGCAAGATGTTCTGTGCACACCCAGTTGCCATCGTTACGTAGTATTGGAGTAAGTGAATATGCTTATTATCCACGTGGAAAAATGAAATCGCGACAAAATGATCACCTTGTACTCTTTTCAAGTAACCTTAAAAATTGAGTCTTCAACTTAAAGGTCACATCTACTAAGAGACGGAATGAGTTTGAGGGTCCTACCACCCAGTCCTCGTTATCAACGTTTTACCTCCGTGACAAATATCCCTGCTGTGTACAGCCAGTGAACACAACTTTTCAACCCAATAGGATGTCATAAGAGAATATACTGTTTAGGTTCTCAGAGTGACTAATTAAATACTGAACACTTTCTCTAAGTAAGAGTCAAATAAAAAATCTTGGATAATATGGTTTGAAATCATAATGCAAAAGAAGAAACCGAACAGTGACTCATGACTGTTTTGAATAGATCACAAGAGATTGACAGCAAAGTTATTCTAAGGGATCGACTACCACCAATTTAGTTATGATTCAGTGTCCGAATGCCATCTATAAACACAGACTATCTGTGCGGTAACATTTCATGATATCATAAGTTCAATTTATAAAGTGAGATATGTACAGTCAACAAACAAACCTGTCATGAATGCTAACACTAACTTACTGGATTCAGAAAACTGTCTTTTCATTGACAGGCTAAAACGTCTGCTGTCCCTATGAAATAAATGCCTTCTGACACAAAAATACCGTACTTCATTAAGGTAAACGATGATCGAAAACAGGGAACACAAGATTGGTATGGGACACGATAACATAACAACAAGTGGTTAGTGAGTTGGCCTCAAAGTGTGATCTGGGCCGAACAATGCACTTTCTGTTTAATCCAATACCTACACCTGCAAGATCACAAGGCCTAGTCATCGAATCTCAAGAAACTCGAGTTTTGCGAATTCACCATATTGGTCAGGTTAGGTCACGCGGATAACTGCACTTGGGTCCTGCTTTTGTATCTCACAAACATAGCACAAGTCCATGTCCGGAGATCCCAGAGTTTTGATTCTCAAGGTTGATTGTCTGACTCGACAGTGGGGGGGGGGGGGAGCGAAAGTTACAGGAGAATAAGAATAATGTTCACTGAACTCCAATCATTATCGAAAGCTACAGAGCTGAAAGAAATCAAAGACGTATGAATATTAACAGAGAGACATGAAGAAATACTAGAAGGAAAAGATGTAGAAGGTTGATAATGATCTCAGGGAGCTTGAGTGCTGACAGAGTTGAAGGCGCTTGATGCTTCCCGGTTGCACATAGCGCGGTTGGTTACTTATTTTGGAGGAACTGAAAAAACGTTGGGTTGGTAACCGTGTTGCACAACCATAGAACCTCAGGAATATTCGATTGAGACCAGTCACGTAGGGTTTTTCTGGAAGTAAAGGATTTATTTGTTTCGAATCCCGCTACGAACCCATACCCCGGCACTAGAAGACCGCATATTAGGGGAGAGTGTGCTATTCTTGGAATGACTTTTTCAAACACTTCTCCTTTTTCAATAAGTAAGATAGTGTCACCAGAGTACTACTGGTTATCTAAGGGAAACGGCTTACTCCTGTCACAATCCAGTCCAACCAGTAGTGAAACTTCGCCTTTGAAGCCCTAGCACAGCGTAGTAATTTACGCAATTAGGGTAGCTGCTTCTTGTCTCACCACTATCCAACAGACCTTTCAGATAATTTAGGACCTCAAGGGAAGAATTGTTCCCGCAAATATAGAAGGGTAGATCACTGTGAAATGCAAACCCAAAGTATTAGCAACCGGTAGGGCAATAACAAGTAACAAGGATGAAACGCAAATGATGAGGTGTCATCACAAGATCAAGCGAACAGCTAAAGAATTGGATCTATGAACAAAATAAACACCATGTGACTATCAGTTGTCAAGCCATAGTTTAGTATGAAGTGTGCAGTCCCATAAGAGAAAGTAGCTTTTATGACACACAAGAGTTTACGACGTTATATGATACGTGTGACGCAGACCGACGAAGGGGGAGTACAGTTATGTAACAAGATCAGAAGCCAACTCATTGAAATGATAATCTAAAGGAAAATATTATTGCAACGAAACGCAATATACAGTTAAACGTATAAAGAACAGAAAAATACTACTTATTAATAGTAAGCAAAATAAAGTTGAAAGCAAAAGTATTTACAAAGGAAGAAACATAGATACAAAGTCTCAACAAAAAGGAACGAAGTTTCAACAGATTTAAGCCACTATAGTTTTCTCTGAATTGACTATATCTTTTTCCCCCAAGCCTTGGTATGACAGAGATGGCATGACTTACTTTTACCGAGAACTTATACAGTAGAGATGATGACCCCAGTCAGAGAAAAGTTCTTACGTAGATTACATGACCATATTTGGACCTCAGAGGTGCATCCTGACTATCTCAACGACATAATATGTTTAGGCGCTAATACATCCAGTTCTCTGTGATGCTCGTAGATAAGAGCCAGTGGGCGGCTACTAAGTATTCGATTTACTTCTGTCACACAAGTCATCAGTGATTCCTTTGTAAGAATGTGTCTCCTAGCGACTTCACTGTGTAGTAACTACCACGTGATGCCTGAAATAAGGCGTACTAAAATGCCACTGTTTCTCTTGGTGTGTCGTTCCCCTAGTTACATGATCGCAATCGAGATATGAAAAGACTAACTTCAAAGCTTGATTCACTTCAACGAAGTAAGTACTTCGACCACTCATACGAAACAACCTGGTAACTACTTTAATATTTTTGCCGTTTGAAACCCCGATCTGAAAAGATTCATTCTTAGATATGGGATCGGATGTAGTATTGTTTTTTATACTATTTAGCTGATTAGACTACGTTACAAGCAATCCACAAGTTCAAGTAGCGTCAATTAATAGGATCAAACCTCTGCACTCAACCATGGTTGATTTTGACGTTAAATCGCTCAAAAAGAATTACAAGATTAATACAAATGAAGCCAACACAATACAATAGCTATACATGAGAATGAGAATTGTGCCTATTACGCGGCTACAACAATGGTCATATACACCAAGAAGTCCCTTTATCCATGACCAAATGCAACCAAGCTGGATTATTCACTGAAACGAATGTATCGGCTAGCTCACTGAGTTCTCAATCAATGCATCAGGAAGCCTACTTAACTATATGTTTCAATTATCAATGTGCGGCTGTTTGGGTAACGAGATGAAGCAAGAAGAGTTGCCTATGTTTATTATTTGGTGGCTAAGGAGCAAGATGAGGCAACGCCAAGAAAAATGTTAGAGGTTGAGTTACGTGACTATAGAATCCTACGGCGAAAGAATGATCTTTAAAAGGTGATCTAAGAAAGTGCTATATTGCAAAACAAACACAAACTAATTTAAAATGTCATTCATGCTTACAATATGCTAAATCTCCATTTGTTATTGTAATCATATCACGTTCTGCTTGTGTCAAAGCGTTATTATTGCCTGGTAACTTTATTATGCCAGATTCAAATAAATTAAAAACTTTCTCAGGACATAATTGACGATTCTGTGTAATACGAATTAAACCATGCGATAAAATTTGCAAACTATCACCACTCTCGAAACTACTACTAGAATTCTTCGCTAATGGCCATAATGCACGTAAATTGTCATTTCCTGATATTTCGAACACAGTCCTGTTAGGTAGAGAAAGAACAAAAAGCGAAAAATATTAAATAATTGAATTATGCAGCTATATAGCTATAAACAAGATATCATTCTAACAAATAATCATGCCTTAATGGTTATTAATTATGAAATCTACAACTTTCATTCAAAAAATAAAAATGTTTTCCTGACCCAGCATTCTAATAGCATCTTGTGAAACTTTCCCTATCTTTTATTCTGAAGTCCGACAATGTAAGCTGATAACTTTGTGAATTAAGTTCCATAGTGTCTGAATCAGTCAACTCATTGATTAAAACGCATGTGTCGTCCCTAATGTAGCTTATCAGTTATCGTATGTACATGCATATTATTTGCGTATTGATATTTCAAATCGAGATATGAATTTATCTCACGTTATTGCACGGATAATACTAAAAGTGACGTTTTGAACCTCTTTTCCTGTCACAAACACATTCATATAATAACAAGCAAAATTTAAACACCATATGACAATTCATGCACCAAACAGTGAAGAATTTCCACTTTATAGCTGTTCAAAATAATAATAATAATAATAATAATAATAATAATGGCTTTATTTTGAGAAAAATTTCGAGAAAACTCTACAGAATTTTCAGCATATCATATAGTATCAATTGAACAGAGACGGTGTATGCATACATAGCAAAATGAAATAAATAGAAATTAAACGAAGAAAAGAATATTCGCTCTATCTACAACTTTCTTCAAAATGCACAGTCAATTTAGGTAAACAATCACATTAGCAATTAGATTCATAATACGTAAAAAAGGTAACACGATCTTCTTCAATTAGTTTGCTTTCAAAAACAAAAGTTGATGAGTTGTTTCATTTCTAATACTTTCTTCATCCTACAGCAGACGAGCTAAATACGGTATTGTAGAGTTTTTTTAATATTTTGTAGTACATGCATAGAGTATTATGTACTTGCTCCTCATCATTTCGGATGACCGATATGCAGAGAGCTTCCATTGAAGAGGATGTTGGTCATCTGATGTTTACATGAGTTAATATGTTTGTCCACAACTGTCTTAACTAGATTATTTATGAGTACACCACTAGCTCTGAGATGGCTGAAACATGTGTTACGTATGCCTGACCACTATCTGCCTCCTATCAAAATGTTGGCCGAAGTAGGTTCAGTTTGGACAAAGGCTCAGAGCGGTCAGACTAAAACATTGCATCAATGCATGGAGTCCTTGACTGCTCGCTTGAGCCATGTAGATGCAGACTAGCCGGGCGGGGTTCACGGGACAAGAGAAACCAGTGGTTGGAGACTTCAGGTGATGTGGCTCAGAACCGATATCAGTGGCGCAGATGCACATACACACTATCCTCATTTTAACAACTATACTTAATCTCATCATCTCATCCTTTCTTCTTCTCCTTTACTACTTTCTGCTTCTACTTCCTTTGACCGATTTTTCTTTCTTCATCTTCCATTTCACTCCCTTGTTACTTTATGTGCTGATATGAGGAGTAGTAACTTGGACCGTTACGCACTAATGCCTGGTCTTGTGTCGATGATGACTTACTCTTCTAAAACATGTTTTATTTTTTACAACAGCCATGATTACTTAGAGTTAGCGATAATCTGTTGAATATGCACAAAATTCAATCACATTAATAAGCAGAAAATCAGACAAATAAAAATAAATCAACTTACGAATAACTTGAAACATTTTTTACAACTTGTCCAATATAACGAATATTTTGTAGAAAATTTAAGTGGGTAAGCACAGGTGAACGTACTATACGCAAACTATGATGTATCACCTTCAAACTTGCGAATGCTCTGTGCAATAATAAAGCTACAGTCTCTGCAGATTGATAAAAGATTAAGTTGTAAGCGTGAATTAGTCTTTTTGAAGATCCACTCACAAAATATTAACGCAGTTTATTAATATTATTGAAATTTTAAGAAACTCTTAAATATTCATCAAAAGTAATGATGAAACCAAATGAAGAGACTGGTCAGTTTGGAAAAGTGAATACGCTTAGCTTGGAAAAGTTGAGGACTGTCCACAATTGATGATTAGCTACCTTATCTTGAATTATTTTAGGGTGAGGGTTAGGGGAGTCAAATAAAGATTTTAAAGAGAATGACTGTTTTCTAAGCACTTTGCCGATCCAGTAGTACATAGGCAACAGTGAAGATGTGACCTAGTAGCTGAAGCAATCGATTCTCAAACATCGGTTCGAGGGTTTCAATTCCATGCCATCTACTTCAATATGGACAACTAAGAGGCATCGGAGGCCTGACACGATATGTGATGGTTCATGACTTAGTACACAAATACATATCGTGATGAGTTGTAGTAACTAATATATAAGTTACTGGTAGTATGAAAGATAATATGGATGTTCAGAATGGTACGACAATGTACATAGGTGTTCAGACAGACTGATAAAGTAGATCAAAGCTTGGAAAAAGACACTGAGATTGCGTAATAATGGAGGATGAAGGCAGTAACTAAATAAAGTCTGAATATGAATATAGTAGTGGTATGAAGGTGAGACAAAAAATAAAAAGGGAAGTAGAGCATTTTAAAATCCATAAGTACAGTCATTCTTTACGCTTTTTGTACCAAGGCTGTATAAATTTTTTTTTGAATACAGAGCTTCAGATTATTCATACGATTTTTTCTATAGCCTTAGCTGCATGTAAAAGGCAATTTCAAACTCCATCGAAAAGTTCAGTGGGATGTGGTAGAGTCTGTCTATCTGATCAGTTGTTTACATTGTGGTGTCATTTTCAGCATTCGTATTATCCTTTATCCTACCGTGAATTTTTATTAAAGTACACAATCCGTATCCTTGTTATCGTTAACTTACAAATTTCCTTGATCGGTTGATATTTTACATATAAATAAGTAACGTAATCTATTAAACTTTAAAAATTGACAGCTACTCAAAAAAAAACAGTTCGTAAATACAAAAGTGGTTCAGAGTAAAATTTATGTCAGCTTTTAATTTACCATGTTTTTACTGTTACAAATCAACTGAGATGACTTTATTTTAAATCAGACAGTCAAACAACAAATATAGAGTTTCGGGTAAAGACTATTCACTAAAAACAAATTGTCCATTCAAATCAATTTACTGACACTAATATTTCAGTAAGTTTCATAGCTATTATCTAGCAGAAACTTTTAAATTCAACGGTATTCTTATTTTAAATCGAAATACTTAACATGAACATCTGTGCTCATGAAAGATGAAATCTATGAGAAGAGAATTACCGAAAATATGAAGGTAAGCACCGAAAAATATAAAGAAAATTAATCTATAGGCTTTTGTGTCGTTTTCCTTTGAACTGAAAACATTCAGCATATGGAGATTAATTTACAATAGGTTTGAAATGAAAGTTAGCATAATCGAAACAACCAGTTAACAGATGAGCAACATAGGCAGTATTTCTTTTACGAATCATTCAAATAATTGGATACAGTTCAGATAAAGGCAAGATATGAGACTGGGTATAGCTCCATATTGATCTACGTTGCCACACCTTATATCACCAGATTAAGGGAAAAATCAACATAAAAGAAGGTGAGTATGTGAAAATAATGACACCATGAGAGACAAACTAAGAAAGTCAGGAAATACGACAATGCAATGCATAAAGTGATGCTTTTGAAGTGAAGACAGGAGTGAAACAAGGTTGCCTACTATCCCCCATGATATTCCTGATTGTGGTGGACTGGATCATGCAGCAAACAGTGGGCAGCGAGAAGAGGGGGATACGCTGGACTGCGGAAAAGAACCTAGAAGACTTCGATTTCGCCGATGACTTGTGCCTGATGTCACATAAACTTGAAGATCTACAGGCAAAAACTAACAAGTTCACAAAAGAGGCGAGGCAGCGAAGACGGGACTTCAGGCGAATATAGAGAAGACAGAAGTGATGAAGATACCGCACCAACAACAACAACAAACTCCAATCACCATCAACGGGAGAAACTTAAAGGAAGTAACCTCCTTCACCTATCTAGGAAGCACTGTTTCAACTACAGGCGGCACAGGCACAGACGAGGATGTCAAAGCCAGCCACGATCGGAAAGACAGCAAGACAGACATACATTAGCCTGAGACCAGTGTGGAGATCTTCTGCACTCAGCATGTGAAACAAGATCCGGATTTTCAACACCAACCTCAGTCAAGTCAGTGCTCCTGTATGGTTCAGAGACTTGGCGCGTCACGAAAGGGATTTCCAATAAACTACAGACATTCATCAACAACTGCTTACGCTGGCTCGCTACTGAAGATCAGATGGATTGCCAGAAAGAATAAGCAACAAGGAACTCTGGGAACGAACCAACCAAGAACCTATCACGCAGCAAATATGCAGGAGGAAGTGGAGATGGATTGGGCATGCATTGAGAAGGCCGACTTGGGACGTCACGCGTCAGGCCAGGCCCTCGAGTGGAATCCCCATGGGAGGCGACGAGTTGGACGTCCGAGGGTGACATGGAGGAGATCGTGCGAGGAGGAGATGAGAGCTTCTGGGCTGTCGTGGAGCCAGGTTCAAAAGATTTCGGAGGACAGAGTTCACTGGAGACGTGCTACTGAAGCCCTATGTTCCATTAGGAACCCAAGGGACTAATAATAATAATAATGCATGAAGTAGAAATATTTCATGATAAAATCATTACAAATTAGATGAAGAGAAAATGGGTATGTATCTACACCGTTGTAAGTGTCGCTGTGTTATATCACTCAATTCACCAGCCAAAAAGTTCAGTTCCCATGAGGCCGCTAAACGAAGAGCTTACAATTTTCAACCTGAATTAGATTAACCTTTAGATGAATAATGTAATGGTACTATATCTCGACCTAGCTCTGTTTGATCTTTTCAATCAGTTTTATACTATGGGTTATTAAAACATTAAATGATTAAGTTATACAGAGAATAAACCAATACTTACCAGGTTCACCTTCTTGAATGCTAAGATAAATAGCCTTGGCTGAATGGCAACCGATTAAAGTATTAAGTGTCTTCAGACTATGAATTAGAAATTCCCGACAGTCTAAAAGAAAAGTCAAACAAAAATTATGTGGGCTCTAGAATACTAGTCGCATACAGCTAACTTCTGGTCAGCTAAAAAAAATACACAAGGTTCAGTCCAAATTATGATACAATCGACAGTTAAAACCTGAGGGCAAAGTGAACGAAATTAGGTGAATAGAATTATTTACCATAAGAAATTTTCAAGAGCATGAATATTTATACCGTTATACAGTAAGAGTTTCCTTATAATACGAACTTGTTCATTTTCAGCTAAACAGAGATATACGGAAAACTAAAAGGTAAAGCCGCGTGTAAACTAGTGAGCTAGTAATTGAGAATTCCATATACAATAGTCACAGTGTTTTTACAGATGTTTTGGTTGATTCCAATTAGAAGAAAACAGTAGTTTATAATAATAAAAATAACTGTCTTTTAGATAAGCATGTTTTTACGAAATATTTTTAATCTTGCTATTCCACCAAAATACAATGACAGCTAACAAGATTTCTAGTGCAAAATGGATGAGCAATTAGATCGGTTAGACGTCTCAATAGAGTAGCTTTTCAAGTCTTTCGTACTATTCTGCTAGATGAAGGCGTTCACAAAATGCAGGGTCTTCTGAATGTGTTGAGCAAAAATTTGAGTTTATTCGGATTGCGTCTCGCACCTGTCGAATATAAGATGATGCTCCAGAACTGGTCTGCGACTACTCCCAGTTTAATGATAGAAAGTTAAGTGGCGAAATGTGTCAACCACTTCACAAAATTGGGGAGTTGCATCAGCCCGGATGAGGTGGTTGCTGACGAAATCTCACCTCGAACACAAGCCCTGTTTGGCATCTGCCAACTTACGCCATCTGTGGCGCCGACTGGCGAATTATCCGATTACCTATTAAAAGAGGAGCATACTTCACCGCAATCCGTTCTGTCCTGTTGTACAGCTGAGACATGCCCATTAAATGTAGAAGACAAGAACTGATCACAAGTGTCTTCGCAGAGTTGTTCGCGTTTGGTGGAATCATCGTATGAGCAATGTTGGGATTAGGCGAAGTGTACTAAGCAAAACAGTCAATTCCACTGATGTTATGTGGTGTGCATTGCAAGCCACCGCCTACCTAGAAGTACAATACTAGGTTAAGTTGGATCAGGTTGCAAGACGGCTGGAGGTAGCCAGATGAGGACGCAGTAGCACTCAATGAAGTCTCTGAATCTCGGCCTGAGCCGTGTGAGTAGGTGCAGACAAACTGGTCCCCAAGACGACCAGAATCAGTGGTTGAGGACTCTTGGTTACATGGCTGAAAACTGGTCAGAATGGCGCAGATGTATTCACCTTTTCATATCCCCTAAGGCTTGAATGCTTTGATGAACCTTCATTTTTAAATTCCTTCTCCTCCCATACACCTTTTTGCCCTTTGATATTAGTCTCTCCTATTCCCTTGTTCTTCGTATGTTACTGTGAAGTGTGGCAACTTGAACAGATGCACCTGTTCATGAGGTTCTACGTTGATTTTATCTGCCTGCCACATAAGAGTTATAAGTGCAGTTTTACAGTGCAAGTAATTCTTGCTATTTTTGCAACTAGTAAGTTCACAGCAACACTATGCATGATCATTTTAAAACGCACTCAGCCAACTTGTGCACATCTGTGCAGTAGGTAATGAGCCACACCTATTGTGTGAGGGTTAGTGATACTACCTGGATGCCCAAACTTCGGTAGGTGAAGCAGGGCTCGATGGTTGATAGTCACCTCCATGAACTACTGAGTCACAGCTCCATATGATTAGCTAAAACATATAACCAACGCATATAATTTTTCAACAAATCAAAGGCAAATACTGGTCATCAAAGACAACTTTGATAAAGCTATCCAACTTTTACTGTATAGTTGGATAGACATACACAAAATAATTAAAACGACAAGTGAAATCACCTTAAAGTTCAAAACAACAATTCTTTATAACCTGAGAACATCTGATGCATCTTTAGGAAATACATGTTAGCTAAAAGTAGGTTATCGTTGTAGCCTTCTCTTGAAAGTAAGGGTCAAATACACTAGCACAGTGACAGGAATTTCCCTAACAATTGGTCAACTCGATATATCAGTAGTTTAACGACTACGAAACGCATATGTACATGCATACATCATCTGTTTACAAATTAAATAACCGTCTGTTTTAGTATGTAATATATTCTTAAGTAACCACCAGTATTCGTCTGTGACCGACTACTCTACTGGCATGTATGACTAGTACCTTCACATACATAATATATAATTAATATAATACGGAATTACTAAACAAAACAAACCCAAAATAATAACAATACTTAACACCAGAAAGAAACAAGTAGCCTTACGTTTAAGTTCACATTGATCTTCACATGCGTAACAACGACCAGTTTCCAATGACTTCCTATAACCTTGAGGGCATTTCAAAAGACAGGAATCGTCGAATATAGCAAAACTTGAATTTGTACCAACTTGTTCATTGTAAAAGAATGGATCATTCACATAACTGTCAGATAAATATGGAGAATCAGCATGTATCAAATTGGGCAATACAACTAAACATTGATATTCTGTTACACATCTTCGATTTAGGTACTGTAAATACAAAACCAAAGTCAAACTTCATAAAAAGGATTTTTTTCAAATAACCAAGAGAAACTTAAGAATTTAGGATCTAAAGGTAAGAAAATCGGATAACTTCATGAGTGGGTGTGTCTGAACATGCTATTCCTACTGAATATTAAAAATGAGCGAAATGAAGATTTTTCACCGCTTCCAAGGTGGTTACCACCACAGAATTCTCAATAACAAAACAGTGAGATTCGGCAGCTGTTTTAACTACCAATTTTCACTCATTTCTGAAATTTCTCTGGAGAAGATTCAGAAACCTTAGATCTATGGCTCTTCAACGCAATATGACTCATCCTCTTCGATCATACATGATGTTGCTTGACATCCAACAGTAATCACAGAGAAAAAGAGGTTATTCAAGTGAAATTAGATTTTTGGAACAAATATGTACGAGTGAAATCAGTTTTTACCTAACAGTACCATGCTAAAAAGTTGCACAGTTCTATTTATAACAACGAAAATTAACAGACTAATCAAACAGTAGTAATGTAATCCAAGAAAGTTTTACACAACGAATAGATAATGTGAAATCAAAACTGCGAGTAAACCTAAAAAGCAATGAACTATTGCAAGATAAATTCAAAATGATCTCAACTCCAAAATGAGATAAAATAAGTGAAGAACACAAGATTTTATGTAATCACTACCAACATGGTCAAGGTGAGGCTAATGTGTAAAGTTTTACATAAAACGCAAATTTGAAATTTTGAATAGCTAGCGATTAAGTATGGAATAAATGATGTCGAAAATCTTTGGAATGGCGTTGAGGTGAGACAAAATGTTCAGTGACGATGAGTTTCAGAATGGGACTGTTTACATTCCGAAATACGCTTGTGGAATTGACGCTTTGTAGAACTTAAGCATATTCTTGTAGTAGAACGAGTACACTGAAACATGCACATTGATATATTATATACATATATTATTTGTCCCTTGGGTTCCTAGTGGAACATAAGGATTCAGTAGCACGTCTCCAGTGCTCTCTGTTCTCTGCAGTCTTTTGAACCTGGCTTCACGACTTCCCAGAAACTGTCATTTCTTCTTCAGGCGATCTTCTCCATGTCACCCTCGCCTCGGACGCCCAACTCGCCGTTCCCCATCTGGGTTCCACTCGAGAGCCTGGCCTGTTGCGTGATGTCTCCGAATGGTCTTCTCAGTGTATGTCCAATCCATCTCCACTTCCTTCTGCATATTTGTTGGGCGGTGTGTTCTTGGTTGGTTCGTTCCCAGAGTTCCACGTTGCTTATTCTTTTTACACATTTGATCTTCAACATCGAGCGTATGCAGCTGTTGATGAATATCTGTAGTTTGTTGGAAATGCTTTTCATAACACGCCAAGTCTCGCAACCATCACATAGAAGCACTGACTTGACTGAATTAGTGTTGAAAATCTAGATCTTGTTCACGTTTTATGCTGATTGCAGTGCAGAAGATCTCCATACTGCTTTCAGGTTAAGAACTCCTGTCTTGCTGTCTTTCCTATCCCGGCTTTGACGTCCTCGTCTGTGCCGCCTGTAGTTGAAACAATGCTGCCTAGATAGGTGAAAGAGGCTACTTCCTTTAAGTTTCTCTCGCTGGTGGTGATTGGAGCTTGTAGTTGTTGGTGGCGAGGTTCATGCACACTGAAGCGACTAAAAATGATATTTTGCTTCCTGAACATTTTCTATTCAACATTTTGTGGAGGAATGTATTTTTAAGACTGTCTCCATAGATTTTACTTGAATGAGATAGTTTTTGACGATTTATACTGCAAAATCTTCCTTGTATTTTACATTAACAGTTTTTGTTCAGGAAGTTGTTGACGGTTTTATTTGTGGTTCTTCTAGCATTTTAAAGTCACTGAATCTAGGAAGAAAGTCGCTTACTATTATAATATTAGCCAGATAGTTCGGTTCCATATTCACCGTATCTCTGAAAAAGATTTACTGAACTCTCAAATATAGTGAAATTACAAGGTTTTCTTTCCGAATAAGTAAGAAATAAGTTTTTAGGTCAAGGAAATGTCCAGTCATTGTTTGTTTTCTAAACACTGACTTTTTTAAGAAGTTAATGGGATTCCATGTTAGCAGAACACTCAAAAATAGAAACATTAGATTTATTCATTTACTTGCACTACTGCTACAGACAGCTGAGTAAAGTATTAATGCTCAGGAGATTCCTCACATCAAATTCTCAGTCGAAAATAGATCAACTTAGTTCAATAAGCACATTTCTGCTAAACATGTGCACTTTCAAAGTCCAATTCAAGATCGATGTAGAATTTCATATACAGAAGGATGGAGTAGTTGTATAGTGTTCTTATAGTTTACTCATAGTCAACTTTTTGATGATTCGTCTGAAAGATGGTTCACCCAGCCTATTAACCAATTAACTATATTTTGAGTTTGAAGTTTACGGGGACTTTTTTACTTCTTCACCAATCATCACGCACCAGCATCAGTTCGAGAACCACTGAAAACCTGGGAGCAGTTGATAGCTATCTTGTGCTAGTATGGGACTCCTGAACAGTACTCATTCACGACCCCTCAGGGGTTGAACACATCGCGAACGCATCGACTGTTCAGCCAGTAGGTCCGAGTTCAATTGTCCACAGTTTCCTACTTCTGTCGATTCACGACACAGCGAGAATATTTACTAAGGTCTACTTATATCAAACGTAGATCGATGATATTTTCACCATATATTGCAAGAAATTCAACTTAGAAAACTTGCGCAAAGCTTTCTGTGTTACTCACACAGTTATAAGATGGTAGCGATGATAACGTATGCTAATAATTATAAAATTTTGTAGTGCCTCTCTATAGGCTGACTTATTGCTAGGAGTATATTACTGAATATGATACAAAGTATCACTGATACAAGGATAATAAGTTTAGCTCCCTATTTATGAATTTAAAATATAGAAAAATACATTTAAAGCTCTAAATGGAATTGAATTCAATTTCTACCTACCTTGAAAGTTCCATTAGGGCACCGAGATAAGCATTGATTTTCATGTAGAACATTTTTACATGCGACACATCTATCTGGTCCATCACCATAGCAACCACCAAGACATTCTGGATGACAACATTTGTAGGGACGTTTCATTGTGCATGTCAAATTCCTCACTGTACAGCTTTCAGGACATACTGACAGAAAATAAACAACAAAGCAATACAAATAGATATGAGTGACATATAGGTATGGGAATATATGGACCGACCAGGTCAGTTGTAAAGAAAAATACTCGCCAATGGCACTGGACGATGGTTGACCTTTATCGAAAATAGATTGGAAAATGTAGACCAGTGGAATCCAATCTATTGGCTGACTGACAACGTGCTTCTTAAGATACCTGGCGGTTTTGCGCTCCATCCTTGGTAGGATCGTGTTTGTACATTGCAGAGGAGTCCAAAGCCGGAACGAAACAGCTGCTTAGTGTTCCCAGATTTTCAAAGTCAACGATGAGAACTGCTTTTAAGTAACTTAACCCCACAAACCACCAATTAGATAAACTTAACACCGAAAATTGAAGTGAGGGATAAGTAGGAGGAAACTTAATAATAGAGTAAAGTACAAAAGACTTTTTCAATTGCAGAAAAAGATGAAGGGTGAATGTTGCCACACTAACTAATTTATTTTTAAACCAAAGTAACTAAAGATTTTTAACAATAATTTCTACAAAACAAGAAAAAGCATATACATGCTTTTGCTTCACAGTTCAGATAATAAATCAACTGCTGTAAGAGGTAATAACACACTATTCCACTGAAGTACCGCTTTAATTCGATCCGCTTACTATGAAATGTCAAACTGGAATGATAGTTTTCAAAATCAAATATTAACTACATCTCATCCACTAAACAACTGAAGCAAATTAGAATCTTGGACAACTGTGACGCAGATCAAGTTGCTACAATTTGGAATATTGAAGAAAAGAAAAATTAATTATGGCGATAGAGAAAATGATAATTTTAGAGTCAGAAGATAAGAGAAAGTAAAGAGAGACAAGGAATAGATGGATACACGTGTAGCAACTCAAATCAATAAACCTGACAAAAATTCAACGCTTTGCGTTTGGGGTATCCGTAAGTAATTGATATATATGTATATACGGAGCAGGGTCTGAACTTGTGATCAACTAACTGGAAATCAAAAATCTAAAGTGATGATCCATAGTAATCTGAAACCATCCTCCAAAAGAAGAGACAAATAAGTAAGACAGTAAGCACTTTGTTTAAACTTTATTAATATGGGAACACAGGGTACAGTTATTGCAATAAGCACTTCAACGCACACAAATACAAGAAATTTCCAGCATGAAAAGGACTAAATGGTAAGAAAACAGTAACATACAATTTAGCTGTCATTACAATTATCGTGGCACTAGTCCACAAAGTCCTTGGCTGTTTTCCCAAGCTGTGTAAGAAGATATCGACTACCTTGGTTAGGGTTCTCGAGATAACAGGAATCAGTGGTTAGAGAATCTTGGTAAAATAGCTGAGATCAGTCACGACACAGATGCATTCACTCTCCGACATCTTTGAAAGTCTGAACATTTCCACTAACATTCATTTCTAAAAATTCCCTCTCCTCTTATACACGTTTTTTAAGAACTCTATTGTCACTGTTTTCTACCTACTTGTTTTTTGCATGCAACTCTTAGATATGGCAAAGTAAACCACTGGAGTTCAGTGCAAGGTTTTACGCTATATGTCAATCTATTGTTGGTATACACAGCTCATGCAAAAAAAAGCCAATGCAAGAGGATCCCCAGTAAATTCGGCAGACGTGAAATTTGAAACCACAACTGCAGGGATTTTAAGATCCTTTAGATTACCCTAATATTTGAACCCGAGTGTTCAAAAGAAGATACTGAGTAAGGTTTCTCTGCTGGTGCTAGCTAATATGCACTACGACGAATGTAAGAATGTAGCAAGTAACCCCCACTGTTATTTTCGTGACGCTCAGTCAGTCACCTAAACAACTATCGTCTACACGGATCTGTGCATTTATTTTCCAGTCAGCACAACTGTAAATAGAGACTATTTTAAAATTTTCTTAGACATTGACGATTCATTCTTAATAATTTAGGCAAATGTATGAGGAAACAATCATTTTTGCGATATTTTTCGTTTTAAAATCGAATTTCAAGCAGGCAACAGTCATCGGAGAAGTTAAAGTCAAAGGAAACTTTCATAAACTTACGAACAGCGTCATCTTGAAACCTCTTTTAAAGCTGTAGCTCACCTGGCTGAGCAGCAGACTCAAGCAGTGAGTCATAAAAAAATTGAATCCCGCCTAATTTACTGTTTGGGTAGTTAGTTAATGCTATAAGCCTTCACATATTAGGTGACTAATTGCCTAAAGTATGAATCTGTATATGGTTGTTGAGTCAAACAATATTTCATTGTTAATCCTTTTGAAATAGTTATTCCCAACACTATCTTTTTATAGATAGTCTAATATTCCAGTCATGGTTAAAATCCAGCTACATCAGCTCTGGTTTTGTGAAAAAGACAATGTGAAACCTCCATACACCAGAATACTGGTTTTATCTGCTACTTTTCTAGCCTGCACACATAGGATGAGATGAGAATACAAAAGCAAACTAGATGAATAAAATTGACAGGAAACAAATAGATAGAGATCTGGGTAAATAGATCTGCCGCGAGTATTATAATACAATAGGTCTAACGTACCAGCGTATAACATCACTAAGTAGCATTCTATTCAGTTGCATTGGTTTTTTAATGTACCCCAGGTAATCTCTCTAAAATCGTACATTAAACAGTTTGGTTTATCTGCGCAAGAGTTTAGTGAAAATGTGAAGCACTTTATATTTAAAAACACAGAAATGTATGAAACGACAAAAAATAAGCATGAACATATGTCAAATGAAGACGATAATTTAACCGAATTGGACGCATCACCATTTAAAATAATTTCAGGTAATACAGTTGACTATTTCCACTCAGTAGATAGGATTGCCTGGAGTGACCTTTAATTTTTCACTGTAACTGCTTGAAACCTGGAAATATTGCTTAGAAAGGTTTTTAACTATAAATTCGAAGGATTATGTTTCTTAATACTTCATATGAAAATTACACTGTCAATAAGGAACATTAAATAGCTTTTCTGAGCAACTTTGACGATTGATAATTCTACTCAAATGTACGCTGACCCTGGATCCAAATATGAAAGCACTTTTAGCAGAATTGTTTGGTCAGAACAAGATAAAAGACAATGCATAAGTGGAAAAACGTTCACTTACTGGACTGACATTCAGCCATAGACCAACAACGAAAACCAGTAGCAGAACCATTTTTTGGTAACAGATTCGAAGATCTTGTTGATGTGTGCTTAACGTCGATTTGCACACCTGTGGAACAACTCGGCAAACAAGTATCTGGGCACAGCAAGCCATTTTTAACGATTTTGACATATGAAGGCACATCGCCACTTTGACTGGCGAAAATCAAATTCCAGTCAACCGTGTTTACATAACATAGCTGAGGATTACTATCTACACGTATTCCGCCACGTTGAACCAATCGCAGAGAACGCAGACCAATTTTCTTGAGAGTAGAAACAAAAAGAAATACGTGGCAAAAGAAAGTGAATGAATCACAAATTAGGTAAATTACTCAGTTACCTTTACTTAAATTTCAGGCTTCATCATATTTTAAAGGCACTAGTAAACTAAACATTTTATCTGCCACGATTGGAGTTTCCACTTCATATCACAAATGAAGACGAGACACCGGTAACCGTATACCACAGTACTATAGGAAAACTCTGGTGCGTATTATCCTCATAAATATTCATACGACAGTCAAAAAGAAATCCGCTTGGCGGATAAACCTTTTAGATCTTAAAAATTGGAATAACTGTGAATTTCGGTTCGCCGAAAAGTAGTTTTTGGCCAAAAGATAATTCAAGGTAACTAACATACGCAGATAATCTTGCCAAGTAAGGAAACTAACAGCGTCCAAGTACTCCCAATTAAAATCAGACAAAGACCTGAAAGCATTCGAGGTTTTACACAATATTTAAATGAATTCAAGCTGAAAACTGGATCTACATTGGTACCTGATCATACCCTAAAATGTGAAATAACTGTACATTTTCAGTATGCGTATGTTGTAGGTCAATTAGAGGTCTATAACTAAAAGGCTCACGTCCCGCTGACCAGCGTTCATAGGTTATCTATTGTGTGTACCTAATAACGAATTAACAGAAGAATCATACTATTGATATCACTCTTAAGCTCCATGGTAGAAGTAGAGTACAGAAATGTTACCTCTTTGGTTGAAACGCCTGGTGGAGAAGAATAAAATTATGCATCTCATTCAGAAAGAAAGTCAAAGTAAGGCTTTCTGAAAATCCCCAAATCAAAAAACACTGATTTGGAATACAACAACATAACTGTCAACACTTCAACAAGAACCTAGCGCATCTCCCCTAGTTAAAGTGATAAGTGAAGATATTTTAAGAGCCGATACCACTGACAAGCATTAATTAACTACAATTGGAGTCTACGCTCTATGCATAACATGGCTGGAGTGAAGAAATGCATTACGAATACCAATAATAAATGTAAACATCAGTACAGTACACTTAGTGGGACCACGAGGCCTAAAACAATGCCACTAATACTTTTTTTAATCCACATAACTGTGGGGATTGTAGTGATTAATCACTACAAAATCTCACGTACCTTGAGAGATGTGCTTTTAATTACAATAGCGTAACCATATACTAATGTTTGTCCCCTGATAACAGTTAAATTAGGCAAAAATTTGGATAAATCGTCCAGTCCTTCAACATCATAAATAAGTAAGCTGCCGGTAATTTCCTTGAGCATTGGAAGGTGTGAGTCGCTTGGTATTCGACCAAAGACAATGAACAGATCCCCTTCTATAACAGTACAGTGAGATAGTTTCGTCAAAATAGAAGGATGCCGCACGTCTGCATGACTACATGCTGTTTTCATAAGTCATCTTTTGCACAAGAACATACCTATTTCTTGAGAACTAACCGAGACCAAAGTAGTATATCCAGCTAGTAAACATAGCACGAACATAAAAACCATTGGAAGCATGGTTCACAGATGGCTGTGGATGCATCAGTGACTGGAACGTCCGGTCTTTACAGGCTTATCAAATTACGTCTGTTGCGCCATTTCAAGTGAGGCCGGGTTCTGAAAATTCAGAAATCAGTAGGAATTCACACTAGCAACAAATCTTAGGTAAAACATGGAGAAGGGCGAAGTGTACACCACTCGGAAAGCTAGCTTACTTGTGATTGGCTGCCTATACAATACGCAGATGTTTGTACTTAGCGGCTATGGACAGTTTCCAATATCCAATATCATTTTACGGGCTTGCGTAAACCAATTAGTTTCTTCACGGTCACTTCTGGGTCTTGCAGAACAGCTCCAGGTCTTCGGTAGATTCCAATGCAGTACGTCTAACCACTTGTTTGCTGTAGCTGTTGTTAGCCCGGACGATCGGTTGGGTGCTGATCAAATTTTAGGGATTATACGATTTGTGTAGTGACTGTCGTGCAGATAGATTCTTCAGTTTTGTGCTCCCAGACAGTTTTTTGAACTGACTGTGAAAAGAAGACAGAAAAGATGTTCAGCGAGATCAATGGAGAGAAAATGCCACTAAAAAACAAGATAAAAAGAAGTCGAGATAAGTAACATGAGGAGGAAATCTTCTTCGTAAGAAGTTGAAACAATTACTCCCTTTGATTAGCTTGAATATTTCAATGGGAAGACTGAGTTCATCTGGGAAATGTGATGTATTTGCGCAGTACCTCTCAAACAATCTGATCACATATTAACATATCAAGGCATTTTATATGAAGAATGGAAATGGGGTGGGGTGAGGTAATAAATTGGAATGATACAGGATTTGGAAAACATAGGGATAATGAGGAGGAATGATGCGTTTTGATGTTGTTTTGATGATGTAAATAGTGACAGTGCAAATGATTCCATATAGGGTCGACTATCTCTGGCTGTGAGCATTTAATAAGTTGCATCAACGCGGTTCACCTCTCGGCCAGATGAGCGGGTAGCTATCCAAACTCTCCTGGAAGCCGAAGGCAGGTGGAACAGTGGCAGTCTCCGTAGGCGATAAGGTTCCATTGGCAGCAGACTCACACGGAGAAGAATTGTTAATGGACACGCGTTTTCATTCTTCTATGGGTGATTTTCCATGGGTTATCACGAGGACTGCTACAGTGGCAGTCCGAAAGGATCTCGCTGTTCAGATGGCATGGATTACTCAGTATTTTGTGAGTCGTTGTCAAGTTGATACGTAACCCGTGGTAACTGAGAGAGTAAAGCATCAGTCTTTTCAGCCTATCCTCAAAGGCCTTTCGCCACATCCCCACGACACCCCTTGTTGCTTGCCCCTGGATTCGCTATGGTAGATCCCCATCTCTCTCCGGGCGCTGCGATGGAATGACTCTGTGGACCTCTAAGTCTGATCGTAGGTCATATACAGCTTCAGGAAGAGATCCAAAGTGGCGGCGCCCAGTTGCATGTGCATGAATTGCAGTACTGCGTAGACTCTAGAGTTATCTCCTGGATAATTGGAGCCTATGTCTAGCTTGTCAGCCAGGATTGGCCCTGGATCTTTTGTCTTGATGGCATCGGAAAGTCACTTTGCCCAGAGAGAATGGGGTGCTTTTGAGGGCAAGGGGTGCGGAGAAACATTATTCAGCACTCACCTAGGTCAAGTGCTACTTCTTTGTCATTCAGCCACTTGACAAGTAATCTGGGATAAATTTGCACTGTGCTTGGTTCTGCTTCGCATATCGCAGCTCTTCATAATTCCAATTTGCCAACAGGAAGTAAAATCGTAGAGCTGAGACTCAACGGGAGGTCATTCGCATAAGGAAGCAATGGCGGTGGACCCAGGACTGCTTCTTGCAATACGCCAGGGGTGACGTCCTCCAAGTCATGCGAACCCTGTTGACTTTTACGGAAATTCTTTTGCCATCCAAATGGTCATGCAACTAGGACAGCAGGCGTCAGTCAATTCCCAAAGTTGATATTTTGCGTGATGAACGTGCGAGACCGAGCTAAAGGCCCTAGCAAAATCCAAGAAAATCACATGAACGGGGACTGTGAGGTCCCGTAATGCCATCTGGTTGTCACCAGCTACCGAAAAAGTTTGAGGAAAAGGACCTGCCCTTTAGGAAACTGCGTTGAGCACCACTGAGTGTGCTCCACGTATCCAAGTACTGTCTGACATGGTCATCTAACAGGCTCTCTATAACGTTTTACAGCACTAGTCAAAGTGCCATGAGTTGATATCGTTTTGGGTTCAACCTGTGTCCTCCTCTGAAGATGCTGGTGAAAAAAGCGTATTTACGCTCTCATAGAAGCATTTGTTGGTCTAAAGAGTGTTGAAACAGATCCCGGAGCGTCGACGCAAGACGTTGGCACACTTGTTAAACGCGGACGAGCGATTTGCGTCACATCCCGGGGATTTTCTCGCTCTTGCCCTCGACGGGTTTTCGAAGGCAGTGGCCAGGGTTATGTTTATCCTGTAAAATCTTCTGCATTAATTACTGCTGAAGGTTACTAAAGAAATCGGCAGTCCTCGTTGGATGACCGAGAGTTTATTCGTGGGTAATAGATGGTGCTATAGGTCTCCGGAATTCGCAACCCACAGAGGTCCTCCCTGTTTGAGCCTTTGGCATTGGAAGCCCCCTGGCTGGAAGATTTTCTCCCCGCCACAAATTTGAATGGGTTTTCGCGGTTTACCTGTAGTTTCCGGGCCAGGCTATTCCGGAGCGATCTCCTGTCCTGCTCACTTTGATGTTATCTTGGTCGCTCAGGGCCCCATATATGTCATGATCCGACTCGTTTCTGCAGATCCTCCTGTTATTTCGTGCCTGAATCTTTGCGTTCAAAAGGCCTTCAGCGGCTCGTTTCGGCCATGAGGTTCGCTTCTTTGGCAAAATTGTGGACACGTGGCAATTTCTAGATATGGCTGTCTTATTGACATCCCTAACTAGTTCCCAGCTTTGACCAATCTACGAGGTATTCCACCGCTTAGGCCAAAGTACCATCGACAGATAGTGGTCCGTGGCCGTGTAGTATACCTTGCTGCAGCAAAGACAAGACCAAGGCTTGCCATGATAACTGTTCACTGAATAACAGGTCAAACACCCTCAAACCGTGATCGCTGCCACCAAGATGGATCTGGGGTTTGAGAGTGAAAGGCCATGACCTCATTCGAATCACTTTTACCGGATCTTTGTGTTCAACCTCGCCTAGTTTACTACTAAACTGGTTTGCTAACCGATACTAAGCCCGGATAAAGAGGGACGCATAGGGATGAGGCTAACGACCCTACCCCGTAAAACCAATCCAACCGCCAAGGAAACTTCAAAGCACAAAGAAAATATAAAAATAAACTTATTCTTCCCTGGAATCAGTGAAACGAAGTGGCGCCAGTTTTTGAAAGCCTTCGGGAAGCCAATTGCCGATCTGTCTTCTCTTCTCTCGATGGAAACGAAGGTAGGCATAGGGGCATGGATGCTCACACAATGTTTGATGCTAGCAACGCTGCCCAGATTGCAGAAAAAATGAGAAGATATAGCATGGAAGTGCTAAGAATGCGTAAGAGCAGAAGGAATAGAAGTGGACTCTTCAGGCTCTTAACTAGAAAGTCGATAATCTACTGGGATATTGTCACCCAGGCGACAATCACGAGCGCGCTGAGGCAGCAGCTACCATGATGCCCCCAAGAGCATCGAAGGCTGTCATGTGATGGGAGGCAATCTCCTCCAGGATCATGACAGCAAGCTTCAAATTGAAGGGAAGAAAAGTTGCAAGGTCACGCACCCACAAATAATGCAAACCAAGAGAAGGAGGAATTCTACTGTTAACTCCAATCAGCACTGGATAAAACCCCAGTCAACAACATCAAAATTCTAATCTGCGACATGAATGCCAAACCGAACACAGGAAGAGGTTCGATTACGGGCCGAGAGGCACTCGGTCAAATGAATGAGAATGGAGAACTGTTTGCGGACGTCCGCGCTTTTATTGATTTCGTGATTGGAGGCAGTGTACATAAGCACAATGACATTCACAAAGCAGCATGAACTTCACCAGATGGACACACTAAAATCAGACCGAACTCATCTCAGTGTGAAGAAGGTGGAGACGCAGCCTACTTGACACAAGATCAAGAACGGCAGCGGATGTAGGTTCATACCAACCACTATCTAGTACAAGGAACCTCCAAAATCAAGTTGAAAGCCTTCGAAAAAGTTGGTGATAGACCACAGTCGAAGTCAAACACCTAGAACAGAGACTGGACTGAAGGACGAAACTGCAAAAGACATCTTCACGTCAGCCAGCCATCAGGACGTAATGGGAGACATTGAGCAACATACCTTAGGAAACCCATGTGGCAGAACACTGAAACTCTTTGAAAGAGACGTTGAAAGACACCTGCACAACCGTGTCATGAAGGAAGAGGAAACGAGACAAGGAATTGATCTCGACGGATACATGGAAGCTGACAGAGCAAGGAGAGGGAGATGGTGAAGTAGAAGATGAACCAGTGCAGTGCAAGGATGGACAGCGAACAGAAGAACTGAGTGCAACGTACAAAACACTGAACAAAGAAGCGAAAAAGGATGCGAGCAAGGAGAAAACACACTACCACGACACATTAGCAAGCAAAGCAGAACAGGCTGCAGGTTGGAGAGAGTGAGATCTGGCAACATTATATCAAATGACCGGGTTACTTTCTGGGTGGGAAGAGATCAACGCACACGAAAGATTGTGAAGAAAGGCCAGTTACCAAAGCGGTGAAACAAGTGGAGCAATGGACTGACCACTTCGAAAAGCTGTTGAATTGACCACCACCACCACCACCCTCTGCAACTCGTCCAAAAGTACCACCAGCAACAGCAGAACCACAAGTCAACACGGGCACACAGACAAAAGAAGGACTCTGAACTCCATAAAACAACTGAAATTCGGGAAAGCAGTACGACCAGATGGAATTCCTCTAGAAGCACCGGAAATAGACGCAAAGACAACAAAGGATACGCTCACATGGCTACTGCAGAAGGTTTGGAAGGGAGGAAGAGAAAGTACTTGCCTGTTGAGTGGCAGAAGGGTTACCCTGTCAAACTCCCAAGGAAGGGAGCCATAGTCCTTTGCAAGAACTGGCGAGGAATCGTGCCCCACTCCTATCCACCCGAAGCAAAATATTAAGCTGCATCATCCTGGACAGACTAAAGGATGCGCTGGATTCAAAACTACGACCGGAACAGGCTGGCCGGCTTCAGGAAGAACAAATTATGTGTGGATCGAATTGCAACACAAGCTACGTATCAGCATAGAACAGAGTATAAAATAGCAGTCAACTCTTGACCTCAACTTCATCCACTTTGAAAAGGACTTCGACAGCGTCGACAGAGGAGTAATTTGGCAGATAGCTGCTTCAACACTATGGAATACCACAAATCTTTAGCAACCTCGTTCGACAGCCACATGACGACGCCACATGCCGAGTGATCCACAATGGAAAGCTCAGTGGTGCCTTCGAAGTGAAGACAGGAGTAATACAAGGCTGCTGCCTACCATCACTGATGATATTCCTGAATGTGGTGGACTGGGTCATACAGCAAACCGTGAGGAGCGAGAAGATGAGCATATACGGACTGGAACGATGAAAAGAGTCTAAAAGATTTGGATTTCGCCCATGATGATTATTTACGTCTAATATCTCGAAGATGCGTGGGCGAAAACTAACAAGTTGACAGAAGAAGCAGCGAAGCAAGACAGGACTTCAAGTGAATGTAGGGAAAACGGAGGTGATGAAGATGCTCAACCAACAAAAACAACAAGCACCAACCGCCATCAAAGGGAGATACCTAAGGGAAGTAGTCTCTTTCGCCCACCTTCCTAGGTAGCGTCGTTTCAAGTACAGGTGGCGGCTGCGCAGACGAGTATGTCAAAACCAAGATCGGAAATCAGTGTGGAGATCTACTGCACTACACTGCACTTCACTCAGCGTAAAGCGTGGAAAAGATCCGAATTTCCAACACTAAGCCAGTCAAGTCAGTGCTGCTGTATGGTTCAGAGACTTGGCATGTTAAGAAAAACACTTCCAACAAACTACAGGCATACTTCATGAACAGCTGATTACTCTGGCTCGGTACCGAAGATCAGATGGCCAGAAAGAATAGGCGAAGAACCAACCAAGAACCTATCACCCAAAAAATATGCAGAAGGAAGTGGAGACGGATTGAGCGCACAATGAGAATGTCTACTGGGGACATCACGCACCACGTCATGTCGTCGAGTGGAATCCAAATGGGAAACGTCGAGTTGGGCGTCCAAGGCGAGGATGACACGGAGGTGATCATGCGCACAAGAAACAAAGTTAACAGAAAATCCATCGGCTACTGTTCAGTTCGTCGAGGACATTTACAGCGATTTATATAGAATCTGTAATCTGCTGCTAGCTGCTGTGCCCCTAGTTCTCCAAGAATGACAGGAATGTCACGACTCATCTGATTTCTGCAGCCGAGTCAAACCTGACTCCGATTGGGAATAGATGAGCAGTAACACTTTCACGTTTCTCGGCGCCCCAAACGTTGCTGATCCACCAATGTCAGACACAGTGCGCAGCATAAGACGCAGGTGAAGGTGAAGAAGAATGCATTCACAATACCAACAAGTCCAAAAGCGGCAACTGGAACAGTATCATTTTGAACATAGCCAAAACAAAAAGACACGCATTTGTCGTGTTAACGTTAAATATAGAAATGCTAATGGAATGCAATACCGGTATTCTGAGCTATGGACACCTTCACTAGCTAAGCACTGCATAAAGACTGTTCTAGCACTTCACCCGAAATTTGTGACTTCTACTGAAATCTCATCCTGGAATTTGGGTATTCGATGCCGTTCTTATTCAAACATGAAGGTTCTTCGCCTGCTAACAGCTACTCACCCAGTCTTGACGCAAAAAGGAGCTGATCTCACATGAAGGGCAGACCTCGAAGGTACAATGAATGGTATACTGACAAAACTCTAAATAGAATCGGATGTTGTATGATAACAGTTACTAAACTTGGCCGCATCTTCCATTTAATTAATTTAAACGATCCCGTTTTCAACAACATAGACCCAAACAATTGCGACATACGGCATGGCACCGTACTTACAATTTTGGTCCTAAAATTTCCCAGTACTTAAATGTAGTTTACCGCGCTATCTGTAGGCAGAAAAAATCATTGAATATTGTTATTTTTTCAGCTTCATTCATACTTAACATCTGATATGTTACGTAGTCTTACTGGTTATGTTACTTATACTAGCTGAACAGAGAAGGACTATTCACTATTGCCCGGTTACTGTTCACACTGAGTGATTGTGCCATGTCGCTTTTCACTTCTGTTGTATAGCAAAATGGTTTTTGCCTAATATTGGTGATACTTAATGTCCAAACGGTTACATATTCTGGAACAATATATGTGGCGCGGCTACTTGTGTTTTTTACATTTTCTCAGCTTCATTAGGAACAACAACATCCAGACACTCCCAGTAAGAATGGTCTGTATATGTATAATTCACCATTACAAATCAACTGTTATTTTTAACGCACTGAAAATATGACACTTAGAACATAATACATGTCATGTAGGCAGCTGCAGAGGCAGGGAACTTGAAGCGTCACTGACGGAGAACGACCGAGGCGTTTTATCCCCCCAAAACTCAAAATCCTACGCCAGCTGCGACAGAAACGCATTTCGAAGAAATTTGAGGTAACTGTGACGAATTTTCGGACAATTCGATTGTAGATATTTCCACCAAATTTTCAACACTTTCATTCAGCCCCGCCTGGAGTTATGGACTTTCATCTTCTTTCTTTCCCTTAAGGAAGAAACATTAGGCTAAGAACGCCTCCAGAGGTGTTCGTCCAAGTCTTTTCTAAAACTTGGGTTTAAAACATGAAGAAGGATGGGTTGTCATGGTCTATCTCTGGGGTTATAGAAGGCCAAGAAAAGACTTGGCAATAACCTGGAACATCGTGAGCACCTCCGAACACCTACTGCTTCACTTACTGGACCTTATTTGTAGCCGCAATCTTAGAGGATACACAGAAAACTAAGCGTAGAACGAAGCAGGTTAAATATCAGACGTAATCTTTGTTCCCTGGGATTTGTTTAATCTCGGAATGCTCTTCCTGCAGAAGTGATTCACGCTACTTCGTCTAAATCTTTTAGATGCTGGCTTGATGCCTACATGAGATTTGATTGGGATCTACTCAGAACTACCTGAATTTTCAAATTGTAAACACTGCGTTTTCCCCTCTCTTCAACTTTATACGGATTAAAAGCCGCCAAAGGTAGTGTTCTTCGGACTTCAGACGTGGAATCCAGTCAGGTAAAAGCTTTTTCTATTCGATCATTAACCATTTGAACCACTGGAACTATTCCAACTGCTTGGAGGCGGCTTTCTTAGAATTGTATGCTACCGTTGGAAATGTTAGTTACTTGTTAGCTCGGTGCTGTTGTTCATGTGTTTCATGATATATCATATTTAGTCGTTTATTTCACCTATTCTCAGTTATAAGTGTGTAACTCTATGGTTAAGGTGGACGTCGAACCATCTCCGGGACGTTTGAAAAGAATATTATGAAAGCACAAAGTTGACATTAACCGAGAGTAGAGGTAAAAGAAATGAGCCAAAAAACAAACATCATTATCATGTGTATTTCTGGCAATAATGCTCCCTCTATCACAGCTTCACTGCTTCCCGTTTTCTTCATTTCTATTTCATCCCCCCTCATTTCCACTAATTCTCTTTGATTGACAATACTTCTCCATCTTCGCTTGAAATTGCTTATTATAGTTCAGCGCATTCACCACATCAACACTTTCTTACTGGTTATATCTGGCATGAATAAGTTATGGAGGGATGTAGCTTACGGTTTCACCTAAGTTGAAGCAATAAGTAAAATGCACGGGTGAAGTTTGATCACAAAATAATTGGTGATGAACAACGGCACTAGTGACTTGCAGTCATCACTCCCTCTCAACAGTTTCTCCCTTGCCGGTTCACTGTTGAAGTAATCAGTGAAAGTCTAATCTTAATTATGCGTGCTGTATATAATTGATAGTATAGCAGGAAAATTGCTAGTAAACGACCTGTGTTTAGAATTTAACCTAACCCTAATGCGGGTTAGTCACAGGTCGTGAAAGTAACTATTCGAAGCAGCATCCAGTGTACCTTTCACTTTGTTCTCTGTAATATATGTGGATACAAGTCTACTAACGACCAAAGCTAAAAAGCAACTTGCTCCTCACAATCTTATTGAAGGGAAATTTGTTCGGCTTTGCTTTTTTCATAGTGCCAAAAAGCGTGCTTAGTTGCGCTTTCCGGTAGAACAGAGGTACTGAACGCTAATCATAATAATGACTTCAGACCTTCCTGCAGCTTGCCTACCATTTTTGCATTGTACAGCATATTAATAACTTGTCAATTCATAAAGATACCGCACACACCTTTAACTCATGCATGATGTGCGAGGAAATATTTTTAGTTTGGAAAAGGTTAATAGGTAGCCAGAATAAAGTGTTGCATCAGTCATTGAAGTCTCTGAATGTTGGTCTGAGCTATGCAAGGTATTGTAGAAGTGTAGTGTAACAGCCGAAACTTGTTTAGGTCAGTCTGTCATGAGAAGTTGTATTCGATTACAATTTTTGCGAGTACTGTATGTGATTCAAATCTACGGTCGGTAATAAATTAGATGAACATCCGCTAATTTAGAACATACAAATGGTTCTAAGTAGCATGAGATAAATACACAAATTAACCATTGAAGTATCTTTCGGATGATAACTGCATTGGGGAAGGACATTCATACTAACGGGGATTTATATTCACCAAAGAAACACACAGTGACAGTGGTTAACAAGTTTCCAAAGGTTTGAAGAATAGTTGGTAGCTAAGTGAGAGCGATTCCGAACTTTCTAGCAGCCGTTAAATCTACTCAATTGACTGTTTTACAGATGAAGTCTAGAAAACTTACATCAACCATTAGGTTTTTTCGTTGGTCTAAAGAGTTACCAAAAACCACAAAGTATAAAACTAATTTGTGTGAACTATCTGCGTCGGTGGATTTTGAGTACTAGCCAAGTCGGAAAACCTATTTACTATATGTGAATCAGAAATCTCAAATGGAACTCTGAAAATTGTATGGAACAAAAATTAACCTCTTCAGTTTAATATTTAACACTGTAAGCTCAGTGTTTTTTATACTAATTTTATCTTTCTAAGTATAAAATATGAAAAGGCTACAGGTTTTTAACCACAGGAGTTTCACAGCATTGCTCACAAATGATAAAATCACCGTGCCTATGGCTGCTACTTCTGACCGATAACTACCTTGATATGATGATTAGGCTTGGGTACCATAGTGACCCAACGAACTATGCTGGTGGATCCCTTGCTCCATTTAGATCCTACGATATCAAAGACTTTTGTTGGAAAGTGGTAAGACAAAGAGCAGTTGATGTTATAGTGTGAATTACTACGTTATGATAAAGATCTGAGGTGAAAGTCATACTGCAGGCTGGACTGGGGTACAACAGAAGTAAGGTATTTCCAGTGGACAATCCCCAATATCATGCTGATGCTATCTTCCATATGGAAATGGAAAAATTTAGAAAACGACCCAGAATAATAATACCCCTACCCTGTAGTCTACTGATGTCGGCACTACCATTCAAGGCTAACTCTATAAGAACAAAATAATTATGAGTGAAGCTCGCTAGTTAGAAAACAAAGGATGCTTTTAGTGAGAAACTGGCCAGATAGTTATCGAAGTAGAAAGACGTCATTCACCCAGAAAAGCCTGGCGGTATCTCTGACTTGTCTTAAAAACAGCGCTGATGACCGTAACCGACTCTGAATGTGGTTAAAAAAAACCAGTAGATCTCATCAGCCTCTTCTGAATTAATGGGTGCACGAGAAAGCATTACGGCGGGCCCCGAGTAAAGTTATGAGCTGAAGCAACTCAAATGTAAGCTGACAATGAGTCTACACAATGGTCGCGATCAGTACTGGGCCACACAAATTAGAGATGAAAAAGACTGCGACAACAGGTAACAGTGAACAGTTATTTAAACTTATCAAGGAAGCTGCTGCACGAAGGTCAAGGGTTAGTTAGGCTACAGAGGAGAAAGATGTTTCTGCATCCCACTCTCAGGGGAGACTAAAACGATGTGCGGGTCACTTCAAGGAATAGTCCGACTGGTCTTCAGGTAATATTCCATTGTCCGCTATCAAGTTGAACTGTAGGTAGAACACTGGGGCAGACACCACAACTGTTGCTGGAATTGAGGATGCTGTATGTAACCTGGGATGAGGAAATGAATCAGAGCCAGATGGACTAGTGTTAGAGGTATTTAAGGATGGTGGTCCAGGACCATTGGTTAGGTGAACAGGTGTTAGCCATCGTATACGACAGATATGATTCTTTCTAACTTTCCCTTATTACTGGTTGTCGTAGTGTTTAAAAAGGGAAAAATCCCTTCGTAATAACCATAAAGGGCTCTGTTTGATAAAAATGGTGTTTATGATTCTAGCTTCTGTAGTTATCAAACACCGAAGTGAAGTGTGGTAACAGTGAACCCGAGAAAATCAAACAGGTTTCAGACCTAGTGGTGGGTGTATTGACTCGATATTCACTCTCCGCACACACTTAGTAGTGCCTGGTACTACCTGTATTTCTTGACCTGAAGACGTTATTTGACTTATCTATCAATAGGTATTATCACAGTATCTATAACTGAAAGGAGTGTCGAGTTAGTACGTCACTGTTAAAGGCTCTATGTTCGAACTCTGGAGGGTGCATTAGAGCTTATGTTTAGTTATCAGGTGATTTGTGTACTTCGAATGTTATCCCTTGAGGATGTCCACCCTCTTCATTCTTATTTAATTTTATTATAGACGTGCTCCTAAGGTTGTTTTCCTCTCATCGTCTGACTTAATAAAGATTGACGTCACAAGCGACTTTTTAGTAGACCTGAAGTGAAAACAAAATGTACTCAGCAACCACGCACACTCTCATGCAATAGGCAATGAGCCACACATTGTATAAGGGCCACCGGTGCTACGTTTCTATACAAATTTCAATAGGTTGAGCAGATTTCGAGCCTGCGACTCACTGGAAGTTGAGGAGCTTGATCAGCGAGTCACGGCCTCACGAGTCATGTTCATTAAAGACACTGAGAATCTTCAGTATCAGTCTGAAAATGTATGGGATGCGTTTCCCACTACTTAAATGCAAATTAATGCTTTAGGACTAGCCTACATTGGTGCTTAGTCTAGTAGTAGGGAGTGGGGTGGTTGAACTCGTTGACCACTTCACTCACCTGGAAAACCGAATCAGTTCTAGCGGGTAGGTGACTGATGAAATTTCTACACAGATCGAAAAGGCTCTGTTGGCTTTCGTTGGCTAATGCCATTTATAGTGCCACCTTGATACGTGATTGTCTATTAAGAGTCGAGTGTACTGCACTACAGTTTGCTGTGTCCTACTGTTTGTTTGTGAGACATGGCCACCAAAGGTAGAGAATATAAGAAGGCTTAAGGTGTTCGAAAGCAGATGGAATGGGAGTGGACTCTCCAAACTGTCAACTGGAGAGTCAATAATCTACTCCACTAATGTCACCCAGACGACAACCACGAGCACACTGAGTTTTCGAGTGGCTATCATGATGTCCCCAACAGCATCGAAGGCTCTCATGCAGTGGGAACCAATCTCCTCCAGCATCAGAGTCATGACAGCAAGGTTCAACTCAAAAGGAAGGAAGGTCACAATCATACAATGCTATGCACCTACAAATAATGCAGAGCAAGAGAAAAAGGAGGAATTCTACAGACAACTGCAATCAACACTGGACAAGACGTCAGTTGGCGATATCAAAATTCTAATGGGCGACATGAATGCCAAACTGGGAGGGGACAACACGGGAAGAGAACTAACCATGGGTCGAGAAGCGCTAGGTGAAATGAATGAGAATGGAGAATTGTTTGCAGAATTCTGTGCATTCAACGATTTGGTGATTGGAGGCAGTGTGTTCAAGCACAAGGATATCCACAAAGCGAAATGGATTTCACCAGATGGACACACTAAAAATCAAATCGACTTTATCTCAATCTCAAGAAAATGGAGACGCAGTCTACTTGACATAAGGTCAAGAAGAGGAGCAGATGTAGGTTCAGACCACTCACCATCTAGTGCAAGGAACCTTCGAAATCAAGTTAAAAGCCTTCAATGAAGCTGGTGACGACAGATCACAGTTCAAGTACAACACTCGTAAACTGAAGGATGAAACTACAAAGGAAATCTTCACGTCAGCCATCAAGACAAAATGGGAGATATCGAGGAACATCTGTGAAGAAACTTGTGTGTAAGAACACTGGAAGTCTTTGGAAGAGATGTGTAAAGAAACCTGCACAGCCGTATTAGGAAGGA